TATATTGGTATCTTTAATGTGTTCAACATAAATCTATTATAATATTCATTTTTTAATGAGAGGACACCGATTTATTAATTTTAGGGTCATGTAAACATGCCAAAAATTTAATATAGTATTCTAAAGAAGTATTTCTTATATAAAAATTTAACATTTAATGCTAAGTGCATTATAGTGTTTATTTGATAAACTTAAAATTTTTCTTTGATATTGATTAGCACAAAAAATATATTCTAATTTTTATTATATTTTTTAAAAAGATGGTTTTAATTCGATTTAATTATAATAATGCAATTTTTAATTTTTGCGTAATTCATAAATTTAAAAAAACCATTGTGATATTTACATGATTATAATATATGTAATGCTTCTTATTTTTTTGTCAAATAATCTGTGAATAATACACACATTTATGTATTTATGTTCTATCAATGTTCTATAATCCATCATTAAATAATTATGATAATTCCATGATTAAATAATTATGATAATTATTTTAAGATTGAAAGTTTTTATAAAATATATGTAGAACGTGGACGCAAGAAGCCTTAAATGATCAATTAAAATTCTAATTATGAATAATATTTAAAATTCTAAATTTTCGCGAAATTATGTAAACTATATATGTGAAAAAATCATATACATGGATATTTACATAATCGCAATTTAATGCAATTTATCTTGATTTGTTAAATAACATGTTTATATATGAATGACATGAATACGAGTCTTTATGTGTTCTGCATCAAAAATAAATGACTAAATAATCAGTCATTTTAAAATTGAAAGTTTCACAAAACATGTGGAACGTTTATGACATAAACACAAGAAGCCTTGAATGATCAAGCAAATATATAACGAATCATTTCTTATATATATATATATATATTCTGTTCACAGCAATTGAAAGTGTGAGCGCTGGTTTAATAAACGAATCATTCGATATAAATCGACCGTTTTATTATTATATTAGTTATAAGGAAGAGACTTTTTTATTTAAAAATTTTTATTCTAAGAATTTTTTTATCTAAAAATTTAGTATTTAATGTGCATTATTTAGCAAATTCAGAAAATTTCTCTTTGATATTAGTTAACAAGTAACATAATTCTATTTGCTTTGATTATGTCTTCTTGATTTAAATATATATGTGTTCTGATTTAATCGACTTATGAATAATGTAATTTTTAAATTAAAAATTTTTGTGAGATTACGTGAACTGGAAAACATGAAAATAGTATGTTTATTGGCAAATAACATGCATATATTGATGTATTTATATGCTCTATGTATCATCTTTTATGGTGAAATATTGTAGTATTATAACAGCCCTTTTAAATTTTAAAGTCCCAGAAAACATGTGAAACGTTCAGACACGGGAAAACTCATAACATAATTTATAATATAGAAATCGTGAATGCATAATCACGGAAATCATAATAATTTGTTATATTCTGTTTACAGTTATACAATTTATGGTTACATCTGCCGTTATCTCCATAAACGAACCACTAATATTCGATATAAATCGACCGTTTTATTATTATATTCGTTATAACGAGGGAACATCGTTCGTATCTTTGTTCGAGGGTCATGTGAACATGCCAGAAGTGTAATAGATTTTACTTTACGACCTGAAACTTTAGTGTAGGCAATATTACACTATTTATAAGCAAATTCTTAAAATCTTTCATTAGCAAGCTATTTTCTTTCTTGTTGCGACTCTTGTCGAATTATGACAATGATTTTAAAGCATGCCTCAAACTTTTTAATATCTACATATAATAGTGATTATTTGTCTATAATATTTTTTATTGATTTATTGAATATTTTGCATTATTTAGCGCCAAATATATAATATGCATGTATTTATGTTTTGTCTTTTATAACTGAATAGTTACAAGCACGGTAGAATAATATGCAATAATAAAAGAAATCGTGATATTGCAAGCTTGAAACGTAGCAAGTTCAACAAAATATATTTTTCTGGTAACGATGTACACATATATCGAACGATTCTTTTCTTTACATATTGTTTTATGGAAATTGCATTTATGACCGAATTAGATGATGCATTTTTTCGTAGGCAAATCATTCTTTTATCAGATTTGAAATTAACTATCGAACATATTTTTGTGAATAGGCGAAGGTGAATAAACTCAGAACATATTAAGTTGTTAATATATAAAAGATTATTACACTGATTTTTAAGTTCTATCATCATAAAATAAATCAGAAAATCAGAATAAGTGTCTCGAATTATATTTAATGAGATTATTTAATTATTAAAATTAAATATTGCAATAGCATTATATATCGTATTTTTTATTTTTTTACTAAATAATTTACTTTCATCTGTTATATTATAAATGATGATATTCTTACTGGTTTAATTAAACATTTTTTTATTTCGGTTAAGTCTTAAAGAAGCACAATATTTACTGCTGCCTCTTTTTTTAATGCGCATTTCTCTTCTATTGTATATAATTCTTTCTAATTCTATATATATATTCTGCATTCTGTTGAACTGAATAAAGTTATTATTATTAGCAATTATTAGCATATTGTGACGAAGGAAATGGCATGAGCAAAGCGTACATTTGTGTTTCTTACAAGCGAAGAAGATTCGGTGAGAAAATTTCTTAGTTAGACAAGCATGTCAAAATTGATGATTGTATATTATATTTGCAGTTGTGCACGCCATGACAATCAGTTTGGTGATAGAACCAGAACCATCACTTTTTGACGTAAATCAGCCGTTCTACTATTACATTAAATACAACTCGCCAAACGTGGCTTTATTCGAAGGTCGCATAATCGAGCCGAAAGTCTAAGTAGGCTATCACAATTTACGTCTTACCTAGAATCTGTAAACTAATTGCTAAACCTTCATTTGCAATGATTAAATACAAATTAATGTTGCTTTTACATTTACATACACATGCATATGCATACAGATAACGTGTAATATAATACGCAAATATAATGTGCCTGTAACAAAACTGAAATCAGTTAATGACTAATTGTAAGATGTGTCTCAGAAAAGATTTATTTTTCATAATTTTCGATTTTTAAAAATATAATATGAAAATATCGAATATGTTAAAATTTGGACAATTTAAACGTATAATTAATTCAACATCTACTTTTTTAGCAGTTCTACTTCTAAGGAAATCCAGGCCATTACAGCTTATTTTTGATGTCAACAAACCTTTCTACTATATGATTAAGCATAATACTGTTCCGCTCTTCAATGGACAAGTTGCGAATCTAATAGTCGAGTAGAAAAAGTATAGCTTTTTCCCTTGTTTACATTTTATATTATCTTATTGTTATAGACTGCGAGTGAATTATTAATTATATATGATACTTGTTGTTTGAAGAGTGTATTTGATATAAATAATTATATGTTTGATATAAATAATTTAAATAATTTTATAAAATATAAATAACTTTAATTAATTAATTGTTGAATATATATATGTACACTAAACAAATATTAATCAATTACCTTTTTTTATTAATTAAATGAGACATATATATATATATATAGTAACGTTAAATATGTCGCTTTCTTGATTTATTTATTAAAATCATGCTCCTCTTAGGGAAACAAAATTGTGGAAAAATAATGGTGCGAGATATTTGAAGAGAGAATTGCTAAAAAGACTTACAGAAAAATTATTGTTGCTTTCTTCAGGTTTCTGTTTTCTGCGATTTCAAGCAATTTTTTGTTTAGGTGATATTTTCAGCATATAATACATATGAAAAACAGGCAATACATTCGTGTCTCAATATTCTAATTTCCAATTGTATGACCATACAAATCTTTCACATCGTTCGTGCTCTTGTGTCCAACAAAATCGCTTTGATCGTGAAGATGACATATGACAAAATATCTGTAGGACGACGCAGTAGTTCCTATGATTTTGGTCTTGATTTGTTTTCTAGATGTAATATTCTTACCGGGATTGCCGGCTCCTCCACGTATGCCGTTAATTTTCAACGCGGACAGACCCTTCTACTACGTTATTAAGTACAACATAGTGCCGCTCTTCCTCGGAAACATCTTTGAACCCTCAATGAATTCTTGATGTTCTTCCAGATTTACAGACTAATTCAATATAATATTATTGATATGATGCAGCTCTCTTAAATTGTATTGAATTAATTAATCTTTGAAAGATCCATAGTTTTTCTGGAAGAGATCAAATACATATTTACGTGGAATTAACAAAATGTTTTACAGCTTCATGTAATCAATAAATAATTACGCTGGAATAATGGAAATAAATAATAATTTTTTCCATCAAATTTACTTAATATTTAATATATTTGCTTTTACTTATTAATTTGTTTTCTCAATGTACAATACATATCTGTCTACGTCATACAGATATCATTGGATTTTTATTTTTTGAGATCTTTAATTAAGCTCGCATCTTTTATAATTTTTTATTCAATTACATTCTGAATGTTTCTTGTCATATCATCTGTAAATATTGTAATTTTCGCTTTTTTCGCAAATGTGTATTAGATGCTTATTTTTTATCTACTTTTCTTTATATTAACTATTATAGAGAAATCCATATTTGTCCCGCATAATACGGTAGCTGTACCAGGACCACTGAACATTTCTCAATAATTAATCAGTGAAACAATCGTCGTTTTATTTCGACAATTATTTAACTGAAAGGAAATACGGTGGCTCTGGGCCTCGTATTAATATTTACAAAAAAACCAAATACAATATAATTACATCTTTCTTAATTGGAGGGAAGGATATCGCAAAAGTATCGGTGACTCTTGCGATAATCTCGAATCTGTAGCGTTATTTAATGCATACTAGATGTAGGCTAGATATCGTGTGTCGTCTTATATCGTAGTTTAGTAGGATGCATGCTGATATTTTTGTTATGTCATTGTTTTACATCAAATAGGCAAATTAAGGAGAAGTCTCGCCGGGATTAGCGCGCGATCAATTCGATCAATCTTTTTCCAGGAGTGCAGATTGAACTACGCTGTCTGGTGATAACGACCACCGTGAAAATCGATCGTCCCTTCCTTTATAGTATTGTCAGGGTTCATCAAGAGACCGGGAACAGCAATTTTATGCCGCTATTCATCGGGACAGTTACCGAACCGACTTATTAGCGATCACAAATAATTTCGTGCGCGTGCATATATTGAATTTTTAAATTGCTTGCATCTCTGCAAATGACACTTTACGTCATTTACAAATAATTTTGAAAATTCTTGCTGAAGGTAATTAATTATAGTATGTGTTTCTTTTTTCGATTGCTGACATATTTGTCCATCATAATTACTTTAACACTTTTCGATTTCTTATTATTACCATCGATATAAAAATTCTCGTATTTTCTTATTCGCTACATTTTTTAATGTAGATATACATATATAGATGTTTTACGTATACGGAGATATATATATATATATATATATATATATATATATATATGAAATCTAATTAATCGTTAGAGCAATGCTATTAATATTTAAATTTGAAATAGAGGCTTTTTTATTTATAATAATACTCTTGAACCAAAGGAACAAAGAGAAGAATATTTAATTTCTATTATTACGCGTTTACCATTTGTACAAGTTAGTATTTTTGTCAAATCTAGTCTGCGCTTTATTGCAATATATTATTAGTATATTCATAGAAAATATATATTAGTAAAACTTGCCGCGATTATATGTTGGAAGGTATTGATATATAGAAATAATATAAAGCGATTCATTTGCAATATATTCTTGATTGTTAAAAAAATCACAAATAAAAATGTTTTAACCTAAATAAATAAAATAACTCGCTCTTTTTCTCGTGTTATCGTACCAGTATATTATTAGTCAAGGTGGATATTATCTAGTATGAAATTTAATTTAAACTTAAACCTTTAGAAACGATCAGTAAAAAGAAGCATAATAACTGAACTTTCCGTTTTACCACAAGGAATGCGAATCGATCATCCATTCCTTTATAATATCATAGTGATCAAAATAAACGCCAAAATTAATAGGGGTTTATAATAAAATCAAATTATTTTGAGCATATCATTTTTTATATTTATTTAACTTTTGTTGTACTCATTTGACAACTTTCTTAAAAAAATGTCTTTTCAACGAGCCATTGCAGTTCCGTATTATTTGATTTCAAAAATCGATATTCAAAGTTTCCTCAAAGAATAATAATCTCGATATCGACATAATATTGTAATAAAAAACCTGAGAATGCGTTAAATTTTTATTTCCTATCTACTACATATTCCAATATTTTTGAGCATCGTAGCACATTTCTCTTCTTTATTTTATCTCTATTAATCTTCCTACATCTTTACTACATTACATGACTCTACTTCGTATTTTTTCTTGTAATGATAATGATAAAATAATAACTTCTTCCGCATCTAAGCATCACATTTGCATGTCATATATGTACCTATACATCGTTCTAATGGTATGAGTTGACGAATGAATGGATTCTCATGTAGCCTTTATTATATTTAATTGTATGTTTCAGTTCAGCTTCTCGTGGATAAAATTTTGATATTACCGATTTCGCCGCCGAAGATGTTTTCGATCGATCACCCGTTCGCGTATCTTATTGTCAAAAAAGACGGAAACTCTCAAAATCTCAACGTCATTACATTATTTAACGGGCTCATTTATAATCCGTAAATCAGTTATTGTTTATCATTATTTGCCATTCCATTCTAAGTCTAGGTATCATTCTTAAATGTCTTTGCTTGCATCTAACGTAGAATTATCTGAATTATCTGAAAATATAATATACTGACTTATATATTACACTTTCTATTATTTACCCTGCTATATCAAATAACGAAATTATTATAATTAGCCCATTATAATAATTGTATAGCAGAATTAACTAGTAATATTAATTATCAAGTTTTCTCATCGTTAAGCGAATAATGTTTTAGATGTCTGAATATTCGCGATCTCACATGCAATTAATGATTACTAATGATGATTGACAAATCAGCGTACAAAGACAATATAATCGCGATATACAATTTAATAGAATTATGAAGTTGATTATGTCTTCAACATAATAAATAAAAAATTGCATCTATTTCGACACTTGCCACGAAAAAAATATTATCTATTTAATATAGCTAAATTAGGCATGATAATTCAGATGTAATGGACATCTAAAATTTAGCTGTATAGTAGCTAATATTTTTGTGGCACTGTATGAAGATCTACAGGATGATTTATTCTGTGTCTTTTGACAGAGTCATATGCTATTATTGCACAATCAATATGTTTCAGTAATACTGTTTGTCGAGTCTGCATATATCCAGATCGAACCTATCGTTTCGATTGATCGACCGTTTTATTATGCCATCGTCAAGTCTACCAGTACACACATACAAACAGAGCCACGTAACATCATGACGCTATTCTCTGGATATGTAATCCAACCGGATTATTAATTCAAACATATAATAAATCCACATACATGTATATGTATAAATATTAATATGATGTCACAATTGAATTTCATAATATAGATCTCTTTTTTCATTTTTTTTTGTTTTTTTAATTTTCTACAGCACGCTGGTGTTTATCGATACTTATAATTATTTTAGCCATGATATTATTATCGTTTAGATTTTGGATTATATGCAAATTGCATATTTGTTATTTTTGCATATTCTACAAGAACATTATAATAATGTGAATAAATTATAATTTTTCAAATAATAAACATTAATTAGTTGAAACTATTATAATTTTTTCACATTATCAATGCTGTCGTAGAATGTGCAAAAAGTAACAAATATGCAATTTGCATATAATTTGAAGTCTAATTATCATCAAAATAATTTTGCAATATTGATGATAATTTAATATAATCGATTTTAATCATAGTTATCTTAATGTTTGCCACATTTTATACGCAGAAAAGCAGATGTTTTTTTCTTGCATTAATATTAATGTTCCGTCCAGTATAGTTATATATGGTCAAAATTACAAATCAATCTCGTAATTATAATATTCTTAAATTTACAAATTAAAATATGAGTCATTATATGATTGCATTTGTATGTATTGCATGCCATCAATGTTTTGCATGTATAATGTCTATATTCGTATATATGAATTGAATATATGTGTATGTATATGTTTGTGAAATTTATAATTGCACTCTTCTTTTCTTTCATCTCTTTAGCGAATTGAATTTTCTAGCAGCATATGTTTTTATTTTTTATATTAGCGCAGCATAAAATTCCTAAAAATTGAGATGCGTTTATCATTTTACTTTTCTCTCGAAATACATATCTCTTTTGTATTTATCGTTTATTTATAGTATTGTCAATCATATTAAAATAGTCACACGGATAACAATATTTGATAACGAAGAGAGAAATTGAATTCTCGCCTCCATCAGCGATACTTTTTTCAGGAATTGCCGTGGTAGCCTTATCTTTGGACTTCCGTGTCATCGATGATATCCATATCGATCGTCCCTTTTATTATGCAATTGTAAAAGTTGATCAAAACCAAGAGTCTGGAAGTCAACGCGTACCGCTATTTTCAGGAATTATTGCTAAGCCTGAAATTTAATAATTTTAAAATATGATATATCGTGTCGATTATGATCTCTATGCATTAGGAGATTATAGCAATCATTAATACATCTGTTCAATCACTATGCAAATATGTCACATTATATATTTTGTGTCTTTTATATATGTACATTCAATATTGTGTCTATACTCTTTTACTCTTTATATTCTTATTATCATTCTAATTTTTTGAATGATAAAAACACAACACTTTTAGCATTGACTTGGCACTTTAGTTAATAACTTTTTAAAGAGAAATAATTATATCTTTGTAAAAATTTAATAGTAAATTCCAAAAAAATTTTTCTTGACAGATATTTTCTTTTATCAGATATTATAATAAATTTTATATAAAATATAATAGACAATATTAAAACAGTTTCAAAAACTTATACGCTAATTATACCTATATGATTATAAAAAATACATTTGATATATTTATATTAATATTTTAAATATAAAAGCAAATAATATATATTATAGTTACATTTTGTTTTAGGTTTAATTGCAAATTTTGTTAAAAATTTTTATTTAATTACAATTTTTGAAACAGTTTTTCACATTTTTATATTTTTTTAATATCTTTCTTCTTTCTCATCTTTATCTTTTTTTGGGAGATGGTATCTTTATGTTTGATTTAATTATTTTGCAAGTATATATATTTTTATTATTTGTTATATTTTACTTTCTTATAATAAACAAAAATCAATGAAAATTGATTTTTGTCATATATGGTTGCTATTTGAATCCTAATGTGTTCCAGGAATAAACTTGGTCTTCAAAACTATCCAAGAACATGGAGAATTCATAATTGATCGACCATTTTTCTATAGTATTATTAAATCAGTCGAATACAAAGAAACTCCTAATGTCTTGTTACTCTTTAAAGGATATATCATCGATCCAAAATAATAATAATGACATCTATATTTTTTTAGAATACCTCTATTGATATTTAGGTATAGTATTATATTATTATTAAACGGTGCTGTCAATGTTCAAGATATAATTGTACGTCCTATTTCGATGATCTTTCGATGTTTCAAATGATATAATTAAAATTGTTCAAAATCTTTGAACCTGACTGCATCTTCTGAGTGTATCAAATTTCTTAATTATTTTTAATACTTTAAACTTTAAAGAAAAAATATGCATTACACATATAATTTAAGCAATTCTTTTCATAACTGCATAAAAATAATCATCAATTTTGACTCGATCATAAACATTTGTAATTAAACAACTATCCATTGTAAGTATTAAAAAACGGAATATTATATAACAAAATTTATATTACATACTAATTCGAAAAAAAGAAGGAAAGATATTTAAAAAACATAAAGTAAAAAATGAGAAGGCAGGAGAAATTAAAGAGAAAAGCCAAGTCGTTCGACTCATTGTAAAGTCGAGCAATTACATAACAGTTCTTTATATATTTAATTAATTGTAATTTTATTGCGTCATTACAAATATATACGTACAATCAAACGCAATGCCCTATTATATTATTCCGATATATAATTTCACGCAAATTCCATATTCGAAGAGAAAGAAATAATAATTTAGTATTTATGTCATTTTTATACTCAAAACTCTTTTAGTGTAACAATAATTTCCGTTTAATTAAATCCATTTTTATTACAGTATTGTCAAATCAACTTTTAATAATAAAGAGCATAAGTCTATTTGTTAGACATCTCATCAAATCGACTGTATAATGATATTTTATATGCATAATTTGTGCGACTAACATATTTTAAAAAGAACACAAAAATACACTTCGTCGTATATTTGGGTGATAAAATGATAATAGCAGATAAGTGCTTGTGTTAATTGGGCATATATACACTATTGCTTTTTAAGGAATTATTTAATTGCATTACGTATATACATGTGATCTATTTTATATTTTAATTTTTCGAACAAAGTTTATATTAACAAAATTGGTGAATATTTATTAATAATTATTTTCTTGTAAAAAAGCAACGCGATATTTAAAACTATGCAACGAAAAGATTTTAACGAAAACTCGTTTTTGATATTTAAGTTTGTTTAACAAAATGTAATTGTCTTTATTATCAGATTTATTACCGTACATTTCATGATTTTATATAATCTACTTCTCTTGAATCCGTTCACTTCTTTAACTTGTACAGCAATATAATATGCAGCATGAAACAGGGATAAGAGCTATCCAAATAAATTGCTCAGATATAATGCAAATTTACATCCGGAATAGAAATCCTTACACCTTGGGTTACCATGCATGTAATGGGAATCAAGATTATACGCCGAACAAAATGTCGGAAAATAAAATATACACTGGGAAAAAAATTTGTTAATTAACAAAAATTCTGTTCGAAAATTCAACAAGATTCTTATTGCATTAAAAGGAATTCTGGTCGATTTAACCAGTAATTCTGTTTCGTCGAAATACAACAAAACTTTTTTTCCAGTATAGTAAAAATAAAAACTTAGCATTTCGGGGATCGATGATATGTTTCAGCAGTCGAAATGGTGAATTATTCCCTTATATTGAATCAGGCGATCGAGAATTTTAATATCGATCGTCCATTCTTCTATGGCATCATTACATCAAAACCGCAAGAGGAAGCTTACATACCACTGTTCACCGGATTCGTCACCGAACCAAAAGTGGCATAATTAAGAAAGAAAATTATCAAAATTATCGATGAATGAATTTGTGAACGATTATGGCAATTGGCGAAACAATTATATCGAATCATTTATATATACATAATTAGCTCATATGAGCATTTATATTTTAGTAATAATTGGATGCTTAAAATGTATATTTCAACATTTTGTCAAAATCAATAAAGGATTATTAAAAATTACATTATATGTTCTAATTAACTAATAAGTCACATCCGAGTATACTATAATCATATAACGTATACGTAACGAGTATATTATAATTATATATACTATAATCAAAAGATTTCATATAAAATATATATATATATAGCATAAAATCTTTTTTCGTCTCGAGAGTTTAAAATAATTAATCACACATACAAGGATCGCAAATAATTATAATTTATAACATTCCAATAATTTTTTCTTCAGCATTATTTGGTTTTATTATTACATTAATTTTTCATAATTTTAGAGTAGAAGTATTCCCTTAATAAAGTATCTGGAATATATTTGCAAAACAGTACGAGCCCTAAATTTAAGGATGCAATTACAACATTTGTCTCAAAAAATTGTGGACGATGGATTTTATACAATTAATGATTTGTTTTCAGATATCGTTATCAGTTTCTATTAAAGTTTGACATGTTGAGGGTTTCACAATTAGAGGAATTGCCTGATATATATTCTCATTTTATATATTTTCAGAGAAAGAAACAAAAATATATTTTTAAATAATATAAAATCGACTATTAGATTAATATATTAAATGTTAATATGATAACTTTTTTGATATATATACGAGGCACTTCTCATGCTAGCAGAAAAATTATTTCGCTTTTATTGTATAACAGCACTGTATTTCATTGTATTGAATTGTAATTAATGCATTATATGCTCTTTTTATATGTTATGCTTGCTGATGTAAAATATTAAAATATCCCATTATTTTCACAATATATATCTAAAATTATACTAATAATTAAAAGATATATTTATGTATATTAGATGTTATCTATATAATTGTATGTATTTGTGTGCATTTGATTGTTATCAGGATATATGTAAAATATCTAATATATAATATTAAATATTGAGATGAAAGAAATATCTACGTCCTGTGATGAGTAGTCTCGTACCGTGATATTTAATGAGATTTCCAATGCTTTATAATAATTATGTTACAGGTATGATGGTGATAGCATGCGGTATGTTGATATATAAAATGGAATTTGAAATAAATCATCCATTCATATATACTATAATAAAAACTTCCTCAAACGAAGAAACGGGCGTTCGTGAAGTAATACCGCTTTTCATTGGACACATTATTAATCCTGAATATTGAGTCTTCTCATTTATACTATTGCAACTTAAACTACCTCAATGAAGTAAACGCAATGAAAAATGAAAAATAAAATTATATATATATATATATATATATATATATATATATATATATTAATTTTATATAACGTATTATGTAATTTTATATATGTTTTGTGTGCTCATACATTATATTTATCACATATGTTTACACAAATATTTATTGATATGCATCTAAGTAAGATAGAGAGAAAATTATAATGCATATATAAAATATTAAACTAAACATGAATTATTACAATAAGTAATCACCGCAATCATTAATAAAAAAATCAATCTTTTTATTGCAGCTTACCTTCCCTCCGCTTTTATGAGAAAATTCTTAGATGTTAATATTGTCTCATCTTATCTTTGTATCTAAAAATTGATTATCGCAGTTTTTCATTACTTTGAAATCATATACTTAAAATATAAAATTACACTTAAAATATAAAATTTTTTGCATAGAATATATATAATATCATCTCGTCAGATATACGAAAAATATTTTATATGTATATACAGATTCTTTGAGACTGTTTTCTTGACGATTTAATATGTATAAATATATTTTTTTCGAAATTTCAGAAGAGAGTTAATTAGTATAAATCGAATTTAATTTCCTTTATTAGCAATAAGGCACTTGTTTACAAATTAAATTTGTATTGTACATCACAAATTTGGCACTAAAAAGCGATAAACATTTTTTTGTCTGTTATATATAATTTTCTAATAAATGCGCATATAAGATAAATTCGCAGAATAAGAAAATTGTGTATATAAATTCATTGGTCATAGTGTAAAAGATTGCTCCCATAAAAAATATTCTTCTATTCTAAGGATACGAGAAAATAATAGTTTTCTCTTTCGAATCTTGCGCGATACTTAATTATAGAAATTATAATCGATAAAAAATTTGCACATTATTATGCATACTATATGAAAATAGATGCACGAGCTATCTAGCATAAGTAATATAACAAGATCTTAACGATGAAAACAATTAATAAAGATGTCTCAACAGATATCATTGCACTGTATGCTTGATTTAAAATGTGTATATGTATTCAATATGTGTAATATGTTTCTATGGAATGTGTATTATTCTATGAAGTAATAATATAATCAAATTGCATTAATATTGCAATTAGTGATTAAAAATGCCATATTAATAAGATATACATTAATTCTTAAGTATTCGTTATTTTTCAAAGTAATTTTTTCTTTTTTTCCTCTTCTTTAATTAAAAAAGAAATATGAAAGAGGCGAACTTGTTTTTGCTTGTATTATTAAATTTTTTTAATTTGAAAAATGTAATATTAAATCTGCTTGAGAAAAGATAATTAATATCACTAATATAAATTTTACTTGTATAACTTTCTATATGCAAATATTTAAGGATTAATGAGAACCATTTAGCTTAACTTAAATATTAGATCGCTCTAACTTAAACTTTGATCTCTATAAAATTGTATAAAGAGATTACTTGTTCCATGATCAGACTATAACACTGATAGAAAAATAATGTGTTTTATGAAATAACAAGTGATGAGGAACTAACGCACAGTTGAGCAATTGTTAGGAAGACATGAGTCGCACAAGTTAAAAAATGAGAAAGTATAAAATATATAAGATTCTCTCGCCGCTTAACTTATTACGCAGTTAGCCGCCGTTTTGCCGAACTTCAACGAGTTGGCCGTGGATGCTGTGCCGTTCGATGTCAATGAGCCTCTACGTGCTACGCATGCTGGATGCATGCTAGTAGTAGTGTCGAGAAATTCATCATCGTTGTCCGAGTCTGTGTCCTTGTCCTTCGGCTTCTTCAGGTCGCTCACGTAACGCTCTATCATATTGAGATTCTGCAGGCTCATCGCACCATTACTGTCGCCCATCATGAAGGGCAACAGTATTTCAGATTTTTGAGCGGCCTGGCGTTCAATGTACATTCGTTGTAACTCGGCCAGCGCCTCGTCCATAAAGCGAACATTGTTCTTGCGATCATTCACTGGATTCTCACCGAATCCTAATGATTTAACCGCTCTGCCGTTCGTCTGTCTTGGTAAAGTAGCGCCTTTCTGATCATTAACGTTTAACATAGTGGTGGTAAAGCCTATTGGAAACTTGGGTTGACCACCGTAATCATTTTTCAGGGGCCTGACGTCAGATATCACTTCATTATGACTGCCTTGTTTCTGTTGCATATTATAACTCTTGAATCTTCGTTCTTCAGGAACTGGCGGAGGTGCAGTCGCTTTCGGAGCGGTAAAAGTCTCGTTGTACTCAATGTCGTCAGCATTTTGGCTCATCGGTCGAGTGGCAGCTGCTGGACGGACCGTATTATGCTGCTGATTCTGTGAAGCGGAATCTCGCCATCTCGCACTATTCATCACGAGTCGCGCCAATTGTTGGATAGTCTGTTTTGAGGTTGCAGCTTCATTATTGATAGGATGGATATCATTGAACGGCAATTTCGCCGGAGTCGATGTGTCGCATGGTTCGCAGATCGGATAATCGCGTCGAGTTGCCGCATTAAACTGACGAATACACTCGCCCTGTCCAGCCAGGAGATTATCCTGCGTGTATTTCAGGATCTTCTTCCGCGATTCCCAGATGCCGTAATAAGGCGGATCTTGTTCGTAGACGCGACACTCCGAGTCTAAGAAAGTCGCAGTAAGTATCATAATGGGAGTGGGTTCTCGCTGCGTGAACAGCTTCCTGCGTGAACTCAAGATCTGACCCATATTCATTTCTAATCGCGCGTTTTCTATTCTCGCCTCGAGTTCGCGTTCCATCTCCAACAACTTGGTTGTCTCGTATATCAAATTTCGCGTGTTCATATACAGTCCCGTTTCTCTAGCAATTCGTCTTTCCGCTGACGATTGCGTACGAACATCATTATTATAGATAGACTGAAGACCAAGTCGTTGCTGAGCTTTCACAAACGGCGACGTAGATACCGGACCCAATTTTGACCATATCGTGCCGAGTTTTTTGCTCGCCGGACTGGTGATTGGCGATACTACACCGGGTCTAGTCAGAATAGGATTCTGATTAACCAGCTCGATATTCGAACTCGGCATTGTGCAAGGAACGCGACAAGGCTTTGGCGGAACTAAATCCAACTTCGGCGGAACCATTCCGGGCTTCGGTGGCGGATGTAAAGAGGTAATCACAGGTTCCGGCGAGGAGTTCTCGCTTTTATTAAGTACCGTAGCATGGACGACGTTCAGTAAATGATCCAATCTGTTCTCGAGTCTGTTTTGCCGATCTCTGTCCACATCGAGAAATCGTGTCACCATGTCGTTCTGCACGGCTAAGATCTAAACAAAAATCGAAATAATATAAAAAACATTTTGCATAGAGATATAGATGTAAAAAAGAACATAATGAGAGGAGGGAAAAAGAAAATAAGATACAATAAGATTCTATCAAAAGGGAAAAAGATAATGAAGTGCTCGATAAAAAGAAATATTATAAGTCTATATTAAGTATCACACTTACTTTATTGACAACTTCATTTTGAGAATTAATCGCGTTGAGTACGAGCTGTTCCAGTTTTTGCGCCTTTTTCTTTCTGAACGGTACACTCGGCATTTCATCGGTATTCACGGCGCTATCCCGCGACTTTCCACCACCCTCCGATGGAACGGGCGAGTCCACTAAAAATTCCAACAGCATACTGTCGTCGTTGCAGGTCGCGTTATTCGTCACGACAGTCGCGTCCGGATTGGGATCCAGATTAGCGGGTCGACTAAACGTCTCGTTCAAATTATGCGTCTTGTTATCACTCTTCGACAGGCAGAAAGCATCATTCAAATTCTGCGATACATCCGGTGAATAGTCCGGCGATCCGTTTTGCTTCATGACATTCGCCGTGCAAGTCAGACGAGTATCGTGATATTGTTTGTAAGCCGTAGTCAAATTCTGTCCATAAATGACCTTACAAGGTTCTTGCGGCATCGCCCGATTATCCGCATACAATGTCCCTTGTTGCAGCTGATTTTGATGGCGCGCAATATTCTCTGCATTAAAATTTTGCATTACGTTACTCTGCGTCATTCCATTCGGCAAGCATTGTTGGTTCACATTCTGTTGATATCCGAATTGATTGTTCGCTGGTACATTCTGTTGTGGTAATTGATTCCACGCAACACAATTTTGTTGTTGAATATTTTGATATTGCTGCATGTTTTCTTGAATAATTTGATTCTGTACATTTTGTACCGTGTTCTGATAAGGGATCTCTCCACATGGATAAGAAGCTAATAAGTTTGGCCGATAGTCCTGTCGCATCGGTTTCTCCACCGGATTTGTTTGTACAGCTCGATTGCCAATTTGAATAAAACGCTCGCCAGTATTTATAGCAACATCTCTCGTAGGGGAGAACACTCTATATGGTTTGGCTATTATAGTCTCATTCGATTCAGGTGAATCTGGATACTCATTTTCATCTGCAAATAAATCGTGAAATTTACCACTAGATACAAGATTTTTTATGAGGAAATTAAATATATAAATGTACTTACATCCTATTGTCCATGTAGGGGACAGAGCCTCTGTTCGAAAAAGAGATTGCACAGGTTCCTGAACTTTTAATCTCATCTGCAGATTCTTATTGGTCTTCACATCCTTTGGAGGTGATTTCACATAATTGGCAGTTGCATCTAACAAAGTATTACAGAAATATATAAGTACATAATATATATATATATATATCTTTCAACATTTGCGTCATCTTTAGATGTACAGAAATGATATATGGGAATATATATATATATATATCCCATACATCATTTCTGTACATCTAAAGATGACACAAATGTTGAAAGACTATTGTAAAAGTGTGTCTGAACATATCCAATGTATATCAAACATTTCCTAAACGTTTCTTGTATATCTTTTTTTGCAGATTTCTGCACTGTCCCTCACCTACTGTGTCCACGCCAACATTGACATTGGCATGATCCAATCGCTTATTCTTCAGCACCCGATCAATGGTCTCATAGTACTGTTCCACACCAGCACGAGTTCCCGCTCGCTTGGCCTCACGATAACAAACAAGAACTTGCTTCATACGCGATCGACATTGCTTGCCAGTGACGTTGTAGCCCTTCTTCGTCATATAACGCGCCACGCTTTCCCAAATCATCTGCGGCCGAGGCGCATATTCTAGTTGCTTCTGCACCTGCCGATCGGACCACACCGAGACGAGCAGCGCGGAACTCTCGGGCGTCCACTTGTACTTGGCGTTGTCCCCGCTGGTGTCTGACATCGTATCGCTTCACATCCAAGGTCCTCGCAGATATGCTCTACAATAACGAAATTAACCAAGTCGCCAGGATTCATCGGACTCTTCCTCACTCTATCTAGAACCTAGGACTCACCTCCTGTCGCCGATCCTCGTTCCCGACTCTCCCGGGTCCAGCGCGACGCTCAACAGGTCGCCACTTGTCGCACGAATTCCAAGCAATTTCGGTGAAATCGTCCAACACAGACACGCGCTTGCGACACTCGCGCGCACCAATGCGCGAATACCTCTCGTCGTTGCGGTTACGGTGGACTTTGTAACCGACAGCGATTCAAATTTTAAAGGGACCAGTGCGCCGGGACGACGTGGTGGGAGCAGATGCATCCGTAGAGTATAACGATACATAGATGGAATCTGTTCTGCAAGGAAGGATTTTGTGGTTAGAGGATTCTGTCTTGTCATCTTTGAATCCTACCTTATTGACAGCTGATATGTCATTTCTAAACTTTTTTATCGACAGCTAATGTCTCTTGAAATATAAAATAAAAAGAAATAAAATAATTATATATTTTTAAAATAATAATATATTTTTTTATTATAATAGGTAAATAAAATAAAATAAATATAATAAATTAAATAAACAAATAAAATTTAAATAAAATTAATAAATAATAAAATTAATAAAATATATAAAATATATAAAATAAATAAAATATATAAAATATATAAAATAAATAAAATATATAAAATAAAATAAATATAATAAAATAAAATAAATAAAATAAATAATTAAAATAAAAAAGTAAAATATTTCAAGAGACATTAGTTCCAGCTGCACAGTTGTGCTATCTATGTATTTTATATATCTATGAACGTAGACCGGCAGAAGTTGGCAGAAGTGTATTCACGTTGAAGACCTCGGAAGAGAGAAATATCATCATTTTGCTTGGAAAAAGGTGAGATTGCAACATATATATACATATAATTTTCGTTTCGAACTTTGTTTGGATTATTTTAAGCGAATTACGGTAACATGGTCTCCGAAATTTTTGAAGAACAAAAGTAACTTGGGTCTCCTTATATCTCTTTCTCTTTCTCTCTCTTTTGTTCATTTGCGATCCAAAATGAGTGTGTGCAAGAAATCACGTTATTTACACATCATTCATATAATCATTTGCATATATGTAATATTATATATCATACTACAATAATATAATTATAATAGAATAGAATGGTGCAATAATAATTATTATTTCGTAAATATCATTTTACATCTGCCTCTTGCAACGGATTCGAAAAGCGACGCACAAAATGGCACCGACCAATCAGGGCCGAGAGTCAGCGTGTTGAACTCGCACGAGTGTGGGACGCTAAAAACAAAAAAGGACCGCTCAATCGCCGATTGTTGCCTGGCGGGAACGTGCACGAGCATGCAGGAGCATGCAGGGACGTGAATTTGGCGTTGTTTAACGGAGTAAGTTGCACGTCGTTTCACCTGAGAAACACTTTTGCCATTTTGTCTAATGACATTCTACGTGATTAGAGAAATCGGCGTGAGATGTGGAACTCACGATACGAACCCGATGACAGTCAGCATCATCGACGTTTCAACGGCGAAATTTGAACGCTGATCGCTTTTTCTCGTCCTCTGCATCAATATTGCGCCAACGGTTGACATCGCCACAGCACAGGGAAAAATGGAAAATGTAAACGGTCGAAAGAAGAGAGCCACGGAGAAGCCCGATGAACAGGAGGCTAAACGTGCCAGACACACTGAGAATAACAATTCTGTTGAGGTAATATTTCGGACAATATGTACTTTTTATTAAGACATCCGATAAAAAACTAACCGATCTCGAATAAACAAAATATATAGAGCTTATGAAACTTAAGAGTTTATTAAACTAATCAGATTATTGTAATTTTTGAAGATTATTTATAACATACTTGACATATTTCTTTATTATACAATGTTATTTAATTATTTTTATAGTATACAGCTGGAAAGGTGAAGAGCATTCGCGTTCGCAACTTTATGTGTCATGAAGCCTTAGAGATAGTGCTTAATGAAAATGTTAATTTCATTGTGGGACGCAATGGCAGCGGCAAAAGTGCCATACTGACAGCATTAACCGTTGGACTTGGTGCAAGAGCAAATATCACGAGTAGAGGAACTTCTGTCAAAGGTATTGTTTTATTTATTTTTTATTTTATGTACAGAATGTTGTAAAAAAGTGAGTTTAAGAATGAAAAGATAAATAGTACTTATTGAGTCCAGAAAACAAAAATAATTACCACATGCATTGAAAAAGTCAATCTTCTTAGAGCTTAGAAGCAATTTTTAGTTTTTAATAAACACAAGTGTATTTATGTATTGTATTATATATGTATTATTTTTTTCGCTATTATATTAATCGATCAATTTAATAATATATGAATTACTATAATATTACAGAGTTTATAAAGAAAGGCAAGACTTCGGCTACTATTGAAATAACATTACTTAATAAAGGATGTGCTGCATTCAAACATGATATTTATGGTGATGCTATCACAGTTGTACGTATTATTGGAACTTCCTCAACATATAAGATCAAAAATTGGAGAGGTACTTGAAATATTTTCATTTTTAGTAATTCAAACAATTATAATATTTGCATATGTACTTACAAGAAACAAATATATTATTTGCAGGAGAAATTATCTCTACAAAACGGATTGAATTAGACAGTATTATAGACACAATGAATATACAAATCGATAATCCAATCTGTGTTCTAAATCAGGATGTTTCAAGAACGTTTTTAGTTTCCTCTAAGGCTGATGAAAAGTACAATCTATTTATGAAAGCCACTCTTTTGGACATCATCAAAAATAATTATAAAGAAGCTTTAGAAATCTGTGATGGCGAATACGAGAAATTGAAACTACATTCTGATGTATATCCACTATATTTATTTTAGTCTATTGATTTATTCCAATAGAATAGTCTCTTATTTTTTCTTTTTATTATGTTTCAGACCTTGTTACAAGTAAAAAGGAGATAGATAAATTAAAGGAAAATATACATAGGTTAAAAGAAATAGATGCATCACGAATAGAATTAAATAATCTTGAAATGGAGTTTCAGTGGGCTATTGTAAGTTCAAGCATGAAAAGTAGAAATTCTGAAAATATATTTTTATTTGAAATAACATTTCGTTTCTAGGCTATAATGGAGGAATCTAAACTTCATAAGATAGAGAAAAATTTAAAGATGTGTGAAGATAACTTGAAGGAACTTAAGAATGTGGAATTATCTATGGGAACAAAAGATGAAGAGATTGATGTAAAAATCAAGTAAGATTTAATTTATATTTGGAGTAAAACTAATATAATTTATTTTTCTAAATTATTATTAACATTTTTTTGACAATATATTACAATATTATTGTATACAACAATTATTACAATAATCAAGATTTAGATAGAATCGTTTTTATTTCTTATGTTGCTGTTTTAATTATAGAAAAGTGAAACAGGAAATTCAGAAAGCAGAACAAGAAGTGATAGACAGCACTGAAGCCTACAATAGTGCAAAGCAAAAACACACTGCCGCATGTGAAGCGCACTCTAATAAGCAGCGCCAATTGTATTCTGTAACAAGTGCAAAAAAACGCTTGGAAGATGATATTAATTTGTTAAAAAAGGAAATTCAAAAGTTAGAAAGGTAAAATACATCTTTATAATATTCTATCTTAAGCATTTCCTTTAGATTTATAATATTAAATATATTGTTGCATATGTTTTGTGCAGCTCCAACAATGAAGAATATAATAAGAGAAAAGAAATGACAGAGCGCCTATCAAAGTTGGAAGAGAAACTGGATGAAGTGGAAGCCTCATTACGTACAAAGCAAACTGAATTGATGCACTTAGAAGCCGATAAGCTGCGACTTTCGCAAGATGTACAGTCTGCTAGAAATGAAGTAGATAATTTCAATAGGCACATAGGTAAGTAAGTGTATCAATGATAAATTAACATAGGAATAATAATGGCCATATTGGTCATAATTCTTTACAACATTAAAATGCATTTTATATATTTTATAAAATTAAAGATAAGATCAAGAGAGATTTAAATGCATTTGAACAACAATCGGATAATGCATTGAGTGTGTTTGGGCCAAACGTACCGCGTTTGTTAAGAAGAATTGAAGAAGAATATAAGAAAAGACGATTTAAGGAGAAACCACGTGGTCCTATTGGTATATAAAATTATTCTAATTTTTTTTTAACTGTTTAGTTTAAAATTATATTAAGTTTTACTTGAATAAATCATATAATCGCATATATATAGGTGCTTACATAAAAGTGAAAGATGCGTCTTGGACACCAGCAGTAGAAACTTATCTAGGTTATCGCATGCTCAACTCATTTTGTGTGGATAATAATCAAGATGCTAAGTTGTTGAATAGTATTATGAAGGAAATTTTCCACAATCAGAATACTCCTCAACTAATATGTAGCAAGTTTTTTTATCAGGTAAAAATGTAGTCTCTTATTATTTTAATGTTTGAACATTGAAATATTAACAAATATCAAATAAAAATAATTGTTTATTCTAATCTTAATACTACTTTTATGCATAATTAATAATTTTTAATCTTATAATGTAACTATTCAATTTTAGGTTCACGATGTTAGATCACATTGTACATGGTCATCACAGTATTCTAATCTCTTAGAGGCAATGGTTATAGAAGATCCTATTGTTGCTAATTGCTTAATTGATCAAAATCAGATTGAATGTGTACTCCTCATACCAACGAGCAGCGAGGCTTGCGAGATAATGTCGGATGCTAGGAAAGTGCCAAATAATTGCAAAAAAGCTTTCACCAAACAAGGTGACTTATTTTATCCCGATCCAAATTATAAGACTTACGGCGGAAAGTGTGGCACCCGCGCCAAGTTCCTACAAGTTTCTACCATGGAAGCGATGCAGTAAGTGCAAAGACTTTGTTTAGTTTTGTAATTTGCAATAGTTTTTATTAATAACATGATATAAATTTTATATAATATAATTATTAATTATATAATATAATTATTATTATTAATAATATTAATTATAAATTATATTAATAAGATATAATTATTAATTATATTAATTGTTTCTTATTAAGAACACTGAGAGAAGACCTTCAGACAACAGAAAACAAAAAGCGGGATGCTGTTACAGTATATAATGCTGTAACTGAAAAAATAAATCGCACTAATTCCGAATTGAGTAATGTAAGTGCGACGGTTCGCAAACTGAAGAATATGCAAAATGAATATACTAATTCGATTAATGATTTAAAAGATAAAATCGATTCAAGCGAAGCTACATCTGCTGACGTTTTTGTAAGTAATCAGAATCGTTTCAATAAGATACAATTTTTTTTAATGAAAATGATGCAGCTGCATAATTTGTTTTACTATTTATAGCGAAACGAAGCTGCTGAGTTGGAGAAAAAATTAACTGCGGAAAATGCCACGGAAAAGCTCTTGACTGAGAATGTGCAAGAACTTCAGAAAAATGTAGAATCTCTGCACGTAGAAGTCAAGCGTTTTAGAGACTTAAGGCACAATTTACACACAGTTATTGATCCTCTCAATGTATGTTTAGTCTTTTTCCATTATACATATATAATTATTCATTATTCATATATAATTTTTATGGTCTATCTCTTTTAGTTTCAAAGATAAAAGGGGGTGGCCACTTTTGATGGGACACCTTGTATATTGATAAAATTATTTATTAATAAAATAATTTATACATATTTTATATATCTGTGCAGGATCAAATAAAAGAATTTATGCAGGAAAAGGAAAGACATCGGCTTGAATGTCAGCGCGCTACTCGAAAGTTACCAAAAATTCAGCAAGCTATACAATGCACAACAGGGGAATTTGAAATACAAGAAAGAGCTACAAAGAAAGCAATTTCCGATGCTACTGCAAAGTGTCCAAGAATAGATACGACAAGGTTAGCATTATAAAATGGCAATATAATATTTAAAGAATTTAAATTATTTTTCTTATTTATGCAATTTTTCTATGTATTTATACTGATGTACATTGCTTTTATCTTTTATAGATCGATAAATCAAATTAAAGCTACACGAAATGATTTGCGAGACAAAATTCGCGAAGTAGAGCATCAATATGGCTTTATGGATGATTTGCGACAACAATTGGAAGAAAAGGAGCAAAAGTATGGGCAAAACATCGAATCTATAACTCGTTTGAAACAAAGTTGGGAAGTGAGTAAATAATATTTATAATTCTTATCGATTATCCAATCGTTATTATATCAAAGATTACTTTATAATAATATATTTATATATTGTGTAGAAACACATACAACGAGTGGAAACTCGACAAAGCGACTTTATAAAGTTGAGAAATTTGTACAGTTCTCTAGTGCAAAATTCTTTCACTGATATGCTCTCTCTAAGACAATATAAGGTAGTTATAGAAAGATGTTTCTTAACTACATTGTATTAATTGTTGCCATTTAAACATCTCTTTGGTCTTTTATTTTACTAGGGCACTATAGTAATTGATCATTCAAACAAAGTCCTTGACTTGAAAGTGAGTGCGCGAGATACTGAAAAGACTGCTAAAGACACCAGATCGCTCTCAGGAGGCGAACGATCTTACTCAACTGTTGCGTTCATTTTGGCTTTATGGGATTGCATTCAGCTTCCATTCTTTTTCCTCGATGAATTCGATGTATTCATGGTAAATGATTCCCTACATTATACAATCTGTTATATCTTTTTAGTCACATAAAATAATCATTTGTCGTGTGTTTATTTGTACAGGACAAACTAAATCGGCGGGTGATAATGGATATTCTTTTGGATCACACTAGATCGCATCCACAAAGTCAATTTGTTTTCCTCACACCCTTAGACACGTCACACATTCTTCCCGATGATTATGTAACAATTCATCAGTAAGTAGACGTTTTAATCTGTTATTGAGAAAAAATATTTTCTGTTCTCAAATGTATAAATTCAATATTCTTTCAAATATCGTAAAATTCCAATGATATTACAAAGTAAAGTTAAGAATTCTTTAAAAACATTACATCACAGCAGAATAAACTCTTTTAGGTTACAACCACCAGAAAGGAGAGGTCTGACTCTGACTCAGTAAATGTTTCGATATTATTTCTTTTTTTTTTTCTCGGTGATTAAATATTTTCCTTTCGTCGCATTGTATAAGACGAAGAAATGTATTTATTTTTTTCCTTGCTCAACAAAGGTGTTAAAGTTATCTAGCAATAAGCAAAAGAACATTATCATAATGTGATTTTATGTTGTTGAAAGAAACGTAAATATTTATTTCGTACCGTTCTACTTTACTTTTATAAAAGCACTTATATTTTCATGAAAATAATGAAAAATGATCAATAGAATTATTCAATACGATATTTGCAATAGAATCTTTTGTTCAAGTTAAATATTAAATATATAAAAGAATAAGAATTTTGCAATCAAATGTTCAAAGTGCCTTTTTAATTAGATTAATTATAGAATTATAGAATATATATATAATATATAATTTATTATAGCGTTTCTCTTTTAATAATAAGATATCGAATGATTAATATAAATTTTATATCAATTGAATTGGTATCTATTGAAAATTCGTGTCCTATCTCGTTCCAATCCGTTGCTTCCAGACTTATCTAGGTATGATTTATATGTATATAAATATTATCATTCAACGTATCATACTTACATTAAATTTTGATTATAAGTTCAAACAAGTTTTTTCAGCCACACGCACGACTACTTGAGCGGATTTACGAGAATTTTTTCCGAATTTGATTCACTGCCAAGAAGCACGAGACCCAGAGTGCCCAGAAGTGGGCGACGGAGGGACGTACACACTTCGCGCAGATCCGGTAAGTGGATCAAGGTTTGCGCGGATCTGGTTCGGCCGGGGTTCCCGGCTGCTGCTTATGCTAACGCAACACGCCTTTACGCATTACGAGCGTATTACATGCGATGCGCACGTCTGAATTCGCTCCTTGCGTGTGTGTATATCGGCCTGGACGGGGCGTGGTGACGGTGTTACATAATCGAGCACGCTGGCCACCGTCCTGGAGAAAGTGCTCGGTGAGCGCTCGTGAATCGGTAATGTCTCGGAAAGGCAGGATAACAAAAAACAGTGCGCCCACGGCAGGTTGTATCTGACCCAATTTCAGTAATTGGACCCGAAATTTCCACGTTTCCGATAAACCGTACTTTCGTGCGATTTTATATCTCTGCTTTTTGTTTCTTTTTTTTATATTGAATGTTGGATAACATTACGTTATCTAATGATTATAGTGTTTCAATATTTAAAGATTTAGATGTTTTTGAAATTATATAATTTTATATGATTCGCCAGTCATGAAAATAATATCAAGTGTAATAATGTATTTGTCAAACAATGCAGTTTTTATTGATGGATGATCTATTTTTACAAAGAGGGGAGATATAGATATTGACATTACGCATCTTCAACAATTTTGCCCAATTGAGATCTTGACTCGCGTCGATCAGTAATCATGACGAGAGAATAGAAAGAAATCTCCAAGTACGAATAAAATATTCACACAAAAAAATTACAATAATTACTCTAAAATTTAAAACTCAATTCAATAATTATCCTAATAATTCTATAATCTAAATTAGATCACTTTTCTCTAGAGTTCAATTTAATTACTGGAACAAAGCATATTGAAAATGAACGAAGGTCTACATCTAAAATCTATATCTCTTTCGCGCGACTTATATATATATATAAATGTATATATATACTTGCTGAGAAAAAAGAGTAAAATTTCCTCGACAAGTACATCCTTCCTAAATGGCGATCAGGTCACAGTTCAGTGGAGGTAGGTAGCTGGGGCGGCATAGGCAGCGGGTGCGTAGGCAGCGGAGGCGTAGGAGATGGGTGCGGCGATCTTGGCGATGGGTGCACTGTAAGCAAGAGCTGGAGCGAACTTGGCGGCATAGGCGAGTGGAGCGTGCGCCAAGGGGGTAGCGATCTTGGCGATGGGAGCGGCGTAGGCGAGAGGCGCAGGGGCGACGGCCTTGACGGCGACGGCAGCGGGTTCCTTGCGGACCACGGCGTTGAATCCGTTCACGGGGTCAGCGGTGTAGTCGACGATGCGTCTGGTTCCGTCGGCCTCCAGGAGGGAGTAGCTGCCCTGGACGATGTCACCGTCGCGGGTCTCCTGCTGGCTCTTGGCGTCGCCGGTCAGACTGTCGTGCACGTCGTACGAGTAGCTGTACTGGGGATGCGGGTCGTAATCGGGCTCGATGGTCTTGGCCACCACGGTCTTAGCGACTGGGGCAGCGACCACGGCGGGACCCGCGGCGTAGGCCAAGGGTGCATGAGCGTAGGCCAGCTGGGCCGCGGGCGCGATTACGCCGGCATTAGCGGCGGCGAGCAGCGTAGCGAAAGCGATGAACTGAAAAATGAGAGAGATGTGTAAAAAATTGGTAGGAGAAATATATGATAAAATTTAATTGTACGAAAAAATACAGGATACACAGATAGGAATATGGAATAAATCCCTGTTCTATAATTGTAAGAGAAAAAAAGATACATATATTAAATTAACAAAAATTATATGACATTAAGATCGAGAATCTATTAAGACTTTTATTAAGGCATTTTGTTAATTTTCATAATTTAATTCAAAATGTTCTGTTACGGCAATTTTGTACACATACGCGAAACGACTTGTAAGTGAAATCATGGTATTAATGCAAGCTATACATGCGCAAAGATTTTGATTAGAAATGTGTTGCATGAGACTCTTTACTTTTAAATAATCCTATAAAATATAAATATTGATTATACACAATTATTGAACGATTAATGCAATATTACAGGAAAGGACGGTCTTCGTGAGAAAACGCACCGCTCTGTAATTATTCTCGAGTTATTATAATTCATAATTACAGAGAATCTAACCGGTAAACCGTACCATACCACGAAAAACTTCACCAGCAAATTATTGAGAATCGATCGGATCTACTTTCTCGGCACACACGTGTCGGCTTACACCGAAACGGACTTGAAAAATTGGACGCAATACCTTGAAGGCCATTGTTGCTCGGTTGATCGGTACTTGGTTCGATCTTGAGTTCGTAATGCGAGTGATACCAAAGGATGGATGGTTTTCGGCTTTTATACTCTGTTCGGGAATCGCGAGAGTGGCCCGCTGTACTCTACATACACATACACATAAAACAGAGCATATTCGCACTGATGTAACAGGGGTACCTTCGACGGTTGCCCGATTCGCGGCCGACGAGGAACGAAATTGCGCAAGAAATCGAACCACGCCCAACAAAAGCGAAGAACGGGATCAGAACATTGGGCCTCTCTGCTCTCGTAACTTGAAGATCCGAAAAGTGCATCGGTCGTCGTCTTCATCGTCGTCGGGGACTAGGCCACGTCCTTGCCGAGTTAGCTAATCCTCCTCCGTACGGTTCGTTCGCATTGAAAATTCATTACAAAGTATTTTCTACGGCCTTTCTCTCTCCTAAATATTTTACTTTTCTTCTTTTCTTTCCTCATGTATAACTTAATCTGATCAATTTTTTATGAACATCGCGAAAATATGTGTAATTTACAGTTCGTGAAAATTCAAATACAAGATCTGAATAATTATAATATTTAAGAAGCAAATGAAACTAATGGTCTTTGTTCATCAGCCGCTAAGAGCTGATAATATTTATATATTTCTTGCTATAATTCTCAAGATTTTTTATATAATTTAAAACAGTTTATCTGTTATAATTTAAAAATTCTTTTTTTTTCTTAAAATATTGTACATTTCTTCATAAGATAATATTCAATTTAAAAATTATGTAGAAATTATTTTGGATTGAATATAAATTTTGGGTTCTTAATATTTAAAATATTTTAAGTTTGACATATTTTTCTTTTACGCAGTTACATAATTAGTATAATCGAATGTTCTCTTCTCATAAATGTTCTTTATATTAAGCTTTTTATACTTGCAAATCTCTTTGCTCATAATAAATAGCACGACTTTCTTTTTTCTTACCTTTACTCTTTATCATCATGATTCACTCGTTTATAAATTCATAAAGTTTCATAGAATTCATCTGTCATTTTATTCTTTTTACCAGTCTTAACAGATATGTTTTAGCTCGTTTTTGATCGATGATTTTAATGCCCGTACGTTTGTTAATTTTATATACTATTCACAACCGCAGTCTGGGCATTCTCGATCTATAATAATAATATATTGAAAGGCCCTTTATCGCTATACTTTTTATGGTTGTCATTGCTTAGAAATAACGTTAGCGGATGTTACAATGTTTCTTGCAAGATAACTTTTTTTAATTGGATGACTGTCTCAATTGAGAGTTCGTAATTAGTGATTTCGACAACCGAGGTGACATATTGAAAATCTTACGACATATATACATATTTCTCTGTATATACTGAATTTCTTTTTATCATCAATATTAATAAATCCCTATATAACATTAAAATCCATTAACATTACATATGTATGACAGAAAGTGACATATATTTTTTACATAACAGAATACATTTTTAATTATATTTTAAGTACTTATATGTATGTGAGATGTTGTATATGTAAGTTGTAATTTATTAATGTAAATTTTCTAATGCAATTTATTTAACATCTAATGATACTAATTCAAAATTACATTTAAATTATGATTTTTTATCAATTATTGTCGTGTTATTTTATTATTGTCAATTAATTAATATTTCTACTTTATACATTTATAATTAATGGTTTTATTGTTTTTTAATTTCAGTCTTAATTGCAAGGCGCATTACCATTGTGACGTGAAATGAAATTTAATCAATGTGACACATTGCATAGTATAGTATGCAATAAGGAATTACACATTGCTACTTGCATCAACTTGCGTGAGCGACGACAGTCTTTCGATCGACATTCGAACAGAACTTAATGGATATGTAGAGGCTGGCCTGCCTGGATACCCCAAAGCCAGATAATTATGCGAACTGTTTCGAAACTTGTCCTGTGTAATTTTGAAGCCTGATGGATGTATCTCCTGGATCTCGAAATACATCAGCTGACGGGCGTACGTAACAAAATTTACTCTGATAACAATTTTAAAAAATGGAAATTTAATTATAAAACACGAAGAAAAATTTGCAGAAGGTAATACATATGTATATTATACTCTTCTTATATATATATAATTTAAAACATTGCATATACTTGTACAAGTTACAAGCTATATTTTTGGGTTAATGTCAAATATTTATAAAACAAATATTTTGTATCAAATGAAACGAAAAGAGAAAGAAAGAAAGAGAAGGTTTATATTTTTATTTTACAACTGATGTCATATATTATATTAAAATTATATACTCTTATTGCAGTATTTATTTTATTTTTTAATGTTAGAGCAAATAAAAAATATATATAAAGATATCTTTGCATATACGAGAGAGAAAAGCGAAGGTCGGTAATTTTAATAAAACATGTAGAATGTAGATGTATGTAATCCCGTTTTAGTAATATAAGCAATTCACACAACTCAATTTCAAAAGAGAGTTACAATAAGGCTTGTCACGATAATTGACACGCGCTGCAGGGATCCGGATTAAAGTGTTTTCCTCGACCACGCGAAGGCGAGCAGTTTCAATGTCCGGGATGTAATTTACCTCCAATTAATGCCGTATGCACGACGGACTTCCTGTCGCGACCTTCAATCTTTTTCATAATTGACCAAATCAAAGTCAACAGGTCTTTTTTTATGTCGAACGCGAGAAGAAAGGTAGCGAAGAGATCTTCGTTTGTGTTTGTACCTCATAAAGGTTTCTCTATATGGAGAACGCCGAAGGAGCACGTTTTTTCGGGACATTAAAAAATGCAGAGAGCAATATTATAATTGCTTGAGTTATTAATAGTATTTAAATGTATGCTTTAGGAATGTACGATCAAATTGACAGTGGAGAAAAATCCAATTATATTCAATTATATCCGCGTATTAATAAATTCTTCAATATAAACATCTCTATAATAAATATAAGAATCTCTTTTTGCGAGTAATATAGTGTAATAAAAAAGGAATAATTAAAGTGATTATGTAAATATTTGAAATATAATTCTAATTTTATAATTCTATTATTCAAATTATATAATCGATGATCATGCGTAATTGACATAAATAAATTAAAATCTGCCTAGAATTATGTATTCTATATATTAGTAGAAAAGCACGTCTTGCGGATGTCACGTGATCATTTTCTCATCAATTATAATGTAATTGCATCCTGAATAATTGATTTACTATATTCCAGATTCCAATATACCGGCAATTTGTCGCGTTAGATTGAAATAATCTGATTGATCAATCGGAATAATGTTTTTGCGCGGATCTCAAGTGGGCAAGAGCTTGATCAGTAGGGGACACAGCGGGCGAGAAAAATCAAATGCGACGGTAACGAGCGAAATCTCGAGCCTCGATCAACGCGAGGTTGCTCGATAAATGCCCGCAGGCCCGGGATCGATCGGGGCGGACCTCACCGCCTCGCGATATTCGGCCGACCTACCTATTTCTTCTTTATGAAAGTGCTCTACTTCTCTCTCTTTCTTTCCTTCTCTGGTCGTCGCACGGGCCCCGATGATGTTAGATGATATGACGCAACAATACGTATCTCGTCTTTCGCGACACGTTCGGCAAAGACACGTATGGAATGTGTTGAAAGTTTCGCGACGACGATGACGACGACTAGGAGGTGGTATTACATATGTTTCCTCGATTATGTGGGTGCTCTACTTGATAGAGACCATTTATTGCATGTGAGAAGGTATAGAGTATATAATCAATCGATTTCAAAAAAGGCACAAAATATTGTATATTTTTATAAATAATCATATCTATGCATACAGATTGTTAAAAAATTCATCAAAAATATTTTTCAATATTAATTTTAATAGAAATGACAAAATTCAATATATCGATATTAATTCTTTTTTATATAGAAAATTTCGTAAAATAGAAATCATGTGACTTATATTTATTATTAAAATCTACTTATACGTACACATTTAGAAATATTAAAGAATTATAGTTTTAGAGACAAAACAATTTGGATATCATTGATATATAAAAATATTAATTTCTTAAAATATCTTGCAAAAGAATTTCTATTATATTCATTTATTTCAGAATTATTTTAAGAGTTGCTTATTAAAATCACATTCTAAATATGGAACAACCTGTCATACATCCAGATCTGTTTGTATAAAGATTAACTCCTGTCATGATTGCCTGGAAATTCTATCACCTTCTATTATATCTTTTTGCTCGAGTCCAAAGATATAATTCTTAACTTCTCTTAGGTAATCGCGTTAAAAGTCCATACTATAATTTTCTAATTTATTCTTGATTAATGCCTCATAAGAAATCATCGAACCATTCAAGGACTCTATACGAGAAGTGACGTTTGGCATGGTCAGTAATATACAGCCAAATGTACATATATTGCACAAGACATTTACGGAAAAAAGCAGATTAATTGAAAATTATGACATGTTTTAAGAGGTAATGAATTATTATCAATATTTACACATTGATAACTGTCACTTGTTATTATAATTTTCGAAAATCCTTCTATAGTCACTTAAAAAAAGAAGGCAAATCAATAAAAAATGTAAAAAACTTAGCAGTCATAATATTCATTTTCTTTTGCTATTTCAGAAAAAAATTGTATCACATTCTAATAATATAATAATAAACACAAATTCTTATGTAGAAAATAGAAGAATTTTTTAAACATTTAATTACATTATTTATTACATGTAAAATTGAAATCTGTGCATTTGAATATACATTATGTAATTAATATGTATTCTTTAGAAACATATTATACTTCATCATTAGTATTAAGTAATATCTCATTTCTCTTTCTCTCTTTCTTGAAATAAAAAAGCTGGCATCACATATACATATACACATTCTAGTTTTCGCTATATTAAAATCAGATTATTTCCAGGTACCGCCAGGCTAGATCGTTCCAAGTGTTTGCGATATATGGATCGGGAGCGAGGGTGCGCCGTCGTAACTGCCGGCCAAGTTCAAGTGCGGTCGACCGTCGACGAACTTTCCAAGTCCGACACAGGGATTGTCGGTGGGGACCCATACGGTGGTGGTTCGGGCCATCGGGTATATAAAGCGGCTGTGATCAACACTGCACATCATCAGTTTCTCTTTGGTCGATCCAAACCAACCAAATCTACAAACAATGGCGTTCAAGGTAGGTAGAGGATCACGCGGAGGAGCTCCCGAGAGTCCATTAGCTCTATATTTCAAGTCTATTAGACTCGAATATACACTCATCAAGTGTTGTTTCACGGAGAAGTTCACCGTTTTTTGAAATTGACTTTCGAAAAATAGTGAAGACTCGATCGGAATCGAATCTCTCGCTTTATATTTCAAAGTTTTAAACTGGAATCAGTTAGGTTTTCTTTTGCTATTTTGCAGAAGCTATATTTCATATGAAAACTTCACGTACAAAATAATGTAAAAAATAACTTAATTAAAAGGAACTCGCGAATCACGTAAAAGAAGATAATCTTACAACTAGTGATAGATAAAAAGGCCAACTTATCGAGCAATTATTATTAGAGTTGTTCTGTCAAATAAAATTTATTCCATGTATAAACTAAACATACAACATTATGTGAAAGCTAGAAACATTCTATACTCAAACTTAAGCGAAAATTACAATCAGAAAATAAACGTTTCAACCGCACGCGGTCTTCCTCAGTATTATATTACAATAATTATTAAAAATACAAAATCATACAAAAATTCCACATAATATCAAAAATTAATGTTAGTTCTTCAATAAGAGTCGAGAATTTATAAGCAATTCAAGCGTTTATAAGCAAGATAATCTTACCTCACAATCTTTTGCAGTTCGTCGCTTTCGCCGCCCTAGTGGCCGCCGCCAACGCCGGCATCCTCGCTTCCGCTCCTCTCGCTTACGCCCCAGCCCCCGCAGTTGCCGCGGTAGCGCCCATCGCCAAGGCCGTGGTAGCCAAGACCGTCGAGGCCGACTACGACCCGCATCCTCAGTACAGCTACGCGTACGACGTGCACGACAGTCTGACCGGCGACGCCAAGAGCCAGCAGGAGACCCGTGACGGCGACGTCGTCCAGGGCAGCTACTCCCTCCTGGAAGCCGATGGCACCAGGCGCACCGTCGACTACACCGCTGACCCAGTCAACGGCTTCAACGCCGTAGTCCGCAAGGAGCCCGTCGCCGTCGCCGTCAAGGCCGTCGAACCGATCGCCCACGCTGCACCTGTCGCCTATGCCGCCCCCGTCGCCAAAATCGCCGCCCCCGTGGCGCACGCCGCTCCCTTGGCCTACGCTGCCCCGATCGCCAAGATCGCCGCTCCAGTGGCGCACGCTCCACTCACCTATGCCGCCCCCATTGCCAAATTGGCCGCCCCGATCGCTGGCCCCCTCGCATACTCCGCACCAGTAGCCAAATTGGCCGCCCCCATCTCCTACGCAGCTCCGTACGCAGCCCCGTACGCAACCTCCTACGCAGCCCCCTACGCAACCTCCTACGCAGCCCCCGTGGCTAAGATCGCTGCCCCCGCTATTGCTCACGTCGCGCATTCTGCCCCTCTGGCCTACGCCGCGCCAGCTGCCTCCTTGGCCTACGCCGCCCCAGCCGCCCAGTTGTCCTACGCCGCCCCAGCCGCCCAGTTGTCCTATGCCGCCCCAGCCGCCCAGTTGTCCTACGCCGCGCACGCTGCACCCTTGGCCTATGCCGCGCACGCTGCACCCTTGGCCTACGCCGCGCACGCAGCCCCCATCGCTAAGATCGCGGCACCCGCTGCCATCTCTTACGCCGCCCCAGCCTCCTACATCCACTAATCGCGTTGATCGCACCAGCTCACGATGTCGACTTAGGCCGAACTTATTTATTTTTATACCATGTATGTCTCTTTTGTGTGACTGATTAAAAGGAATTATACATATATATTTGAGACTATACTCACTTATGTAAGATCTCATCTCTCTCAATCCGCTGTCCTAGTACTTTAATATATGTATATAATACGCATACAATATATGTGCGGAATATTTGATCATTTTTATCGAAGGTGATGCATACTCACGGATATATATGTATATCGGATTGTGTGTGCAATATTGAGTATTTGCAAATTTTTGGAAAGAATTAACGAAGTTTGAACAGAATCGTAATCTATGAATACACTATTAACATAATTAGGAGACAATATCAAATTTAATTTTATACGACAAATATATATTATAATCAGCAATCTCAAAATAAAAAAAAGAGGAAAAGAGAGAATAATAACAAAACAAAAATGTTATATTATTTGCATTTAAAAACTAATTTTTAATGTAACATTAGATTTTGATAAATGTGCAAAATTTAATCGAAATATTTAATGTGTATAGATAAATGACATTTTTAATTGAAAATAAAATAAATAAATTTTTTAAAGATACTATATAGATTGATGTAATATATTATAAGAACCATGATCTCTGACATTTGTTTGCTTCCACTTCCGAAAGAAAATTTTTTATTGTGAGTTTATTAATTAAATTTATCGTATATTTGGCTAATTATTAAATCTCTTCTGTAATGTTGATTTTTAAAGAACCATATCATTTATCTCAACACATTATAATTCACCACATAATAAGGATTAAATATAATATTCTAGAAATTATATATAATTAAAAATTCGATATTTTTGTATTGTTTACATGAATCGTTGCGCAGAAGAAAATGATTTCATATTAATCAAAGAAATTCAATGTAAACATCTTTATTGAAGCATATTTTCTCTTTAACACATGAATGTATTCCAGATTTCTTAGAGAAGAAACGCGGCGAATACACGTAAAAAGAACGATTATAGCAATCGAAAACTAGATATCGAGCGATTACCACATACGATGTGCTAATCAAGTGCGTCATATATGCGACATTCTAGTTTGCGATTGCAACTATTGTTACTGTGTCGTCATGCTAATATAAATTCACGACGCGCGATGTCGAAACTCTTCGCTGTTTATGCCGAATCTATTTTGCATTGTTTCTACGTGTGTGTCGCATATTCGCAATTTAAACTACTTGAGAACCGAGATTTATATATATATATATATATATATATATATATATATATATATATATCAATCTCGGTTCTCAAGTAGTTTAAATTATATACATATATCTCTTTTGATATTTAAACGCAATCTATGAAGAGAGTAAAAATTCGTCTCTCAAATATGCAAATATGTTTAGAGATTATTCCATCTCTATTACGTGCTATAATTACATAACGTTATTTAATTTGTACACTTTTGTCAATTTTCCGAGTATTTTCTCAAGTATTTAATTTGCCAAATTTTGTAAAACGATTTTATGATACCTTTTAGTGTTGTATAATGTGCAGCGTAAATTTCTTGGTCCCGGACGGATTCCGCACGTACGTCCTTCATATATGGGGTAAACTTACCTGCGTAATACCGCGGCGTTTCGCGTAACATTATTTCTGGCGTTTGCCAGAATTGACCCACTTTCTCCGTTTTTCGTTCGTCCTTTCTCGAACACCTCCCCGAGACACGCGACCGCGCAAGGATCGCGACGAAATTCCACTTTTGTTGTCGCTCCCGATTGACCGATTGCATCATTGCATCGCTTAAGAATCATGATGTCGCGTTCTTGTAAATCGATAATGATTTGCACAGATTGCATAGCATGAAAATCAAGTCGATTCCACTCATTCTGATGTAATTGGAGCAAACATTTAGCCGAATAATTTTCCCACATTACACTCGCTCTATTAATTCGCTTAATTAGTACTACATAATGATCATATTTTGGATATTCTATAATTACAATTATTTCAATGAAATTTTTATTATTACAATATTTATTATTTTAGTAATATATAAATAATACATATAATCTTTCTATAATAATTTATATTTCAAAAATATTTATTTTGTTTTTAAAATATTTCATTAATCTTCTATTTATTTTTATTTCTTCTGTTTTGTCATATAATTTATAATTTTGATATAATTAATATTGTTTAGAAAAAAAACTTTTAAATTCTTGAAATTAAATGCTTATTAAAGTGCTGTTAAAATAAGAAATAGAATTTATAATGACTCGCAATTAGATCTAATAATCTAATACCTTTTTTCTATGCATTGCAGAATCACGATTCCCCAAATCGCACCGGAAGAGCATCACGCAAGAGTCGCATGCAATTAGAGACGGCACGTGAGAAAAAGCACCGCAGGTTAATAGAGGAAGAAGAATTACACAAATGTGTGAGCCACCGAATTTGCGCTCGCTCGTTTGCACGTGGCCCATTTGCCATGGGAGAAAGGCGTCCAAATTCCAGGCCTCGATTTAAATTATGTTGTTACATAACAGGGCGGACCGTTCGCGGTTTTCGGGAAACACACCTTCCAAACAGATACCTTATTGGATTCGACCTGCAATTCCATAGAAATGATCGATATACGACGAAACAATATCATCCTTGACAATAACGACCTTGATGCCAAGGTTAGTGCTTCACGCTTTCCATTACATTCTTACGATACTATATTGTTCTACTACGTTAATATTTATTCATGATATCAGAGATTTTATCTATTAGACCACTGTAATTTTTTTCAAAGCTAAAATTTGGGTAACAGAACTCTCACTTCTCTTTGTGTTTATATTTCTCTATTGCTGGTCTCTGATTTATTATAAGTAAATGTTTAGATCTGAATTTTAAATAAAAATTATGAAGGGAGAACAATTAGAGGTACGAAATCAAACTATAATTAAAGATACTGTCAGCTGCGAATAATTAATAAAAATACAAATTCGAGGGTACAATCATTTTAAATGCGTTATATACATATATGTATAATATATGGATATTACGTAAACTTAAATTTCCTTCACGGCGATATATTACAGTTAATTAGTATTTATTGGCCCGATCTTGCTCTCACCTCATATCTCACATGATCTTCGCGTCTTCTCATTAGCGCGGTAGTTTCTTGTCCCATATATGAAGATAAGCCCATTATAGAGTCGATCCGAATGGTTCACGCGTGCAAAAAGAGTACAATATATGCGTTATACATGAAAAAACAAAGCAACTTTTAAAGGAAATTATGAAAAAACCTTGTATGTAAATCAAACAACATGATGCATAACATAATCTAATTTCTCACGAATAATATACATATTAATTTAAGTTTTGTAAGAGCAATCCTTTTTTTACCAAAATTACAACTATAGAGTCATCCAAAAGCCATGAAATATTATCCTTTTTTCATAATAATAATTTATCAACAATGATATATATTTCTCTTTGCTTTTAATTTTTTTAAACACCTGACATACTTACTTTTCCTTCAATTCTCTCTTTTCTCATTTTTCATCATTTTTATTATTTGACAGTGAACATTAACAATCGGCAGACTATACCTTGACGGGCATTTGGTTCATTTGCATGTGTTTTTATTTATATACATACACGTTTAACGTCGCGCAATGCATCGATGAAAAATGATAAAAAATCCAAAGAAGGACTTTTAACGTTAAACGTGTGCAAAGAGCTCGCGCACAAATCGGTATCAGCGGTGATTTATCGAGGGCTAAGAAGATTGGCTGACAGTACGATAATTTTTCAATGCATTTTGGGAACATTCGATATGTATTAAATACGCGCAACATATTTGCTCGACCCCTTTTTACTTTCACCGATAGCCTTGATTTGCACAAGCGTGGACAAATGATAAAAAAAAATGCGTAACCTTAATCGGCGAGTGTATTTCGTTGAGGGACGTTTATATATAGGACTACAATTTGTCGGAGACATCCGTTTCGATTCGATTTTATGACGTATTATACAGATAAATTACTTCAGGTGTAAATTATTGTTAATTAACTGTGCAGTGAGCGTTATAATATAAGATCACGTATTTTATATAAGATCGAGGCGTTGAATAAGATAATAATAATTTTTCTCCATTTAATTACTGAAAATATTTTTAAAATTTTAAATTAAAAATATAAAGTCATCAAATTTAATGCAACAATTTGTTAACAATTATTAATATACGTGATCATATATCTATATGACAAATTTTCTTAAAAAATAAGACAAAGGTAGATTGAAACAGCTAAGTGAATGTAATATGGTCTGCTCATTTAATTCATCAAATCGAATGTAGTCCGGTCACGATGCAGCTGCAGTTAGCACAAATGCTACGTGCATGCTTTGCAAATGTGTGAATAATAGTTAATAATGACGACAGTTTCACGATTTTGCACAATCAATTACAATAAATTTAAATAATTTAGAGGAAGCGAGAAAAGATTTTCCATGCGACTTTTCCTACTTTCTGTCATTAGGATCTGAAGTTTTTTATCTGTATTATTATTATTATAATTACAATATATTATTATTATTATATAATACAATAGTTTTTGGATCTGAATTATATAATACAATTTTAAATAATCTAGAGGAAGAGATACAAGATTTTCCACGTGACTTTTCCTATTTTTTTCTAAGGATCTGAAATTTTTTTATCTGAATTATTATAAAAACATACAAAAAATAACAATATAATGAAATAAAATCTGAGAAACACCATTTTTCCACCCGACCGGAAAGCTGTCAAAGGCATATCAGACAGGTCAAATATTACAGTCGAATTGACAAGGACTCGCGACGATTTTGCTCGTTCGGATCTCGGACCGGTCTCTCTCTGTCTCTCTCTTTCTTTGTCAAAAATTGAACCGGTTTTTTTTCTGCACACGTAATACAGGCGCGATTACGAGGTGCCGCATAGTGACATTGGGCGCGGTTCTTTGACGGCCGCGGCTGCAGTCGCGTTTTCTGTTCGGTGAAAGTCGAACCACTCTTGCTCTCGTCTCCTTTCTTCTCGTTTCGCAGACCAGCGATATTTTCGTTAACTGCATTCGGCTTCAACGTGTCGCGAGAAAGAGAACAAACGTCGCGCTTTTCTCGCAGGTATATAATCCGGATATTATATGTGCGCGTTGCTCTACAAGAGAGAGAGAGTTTGCCTTTGCACGCAAATAATAGTTTACATAATCTCTCGAGATAAATGACATTCGAGTTTCAATTAAATCGCATCAGCTGTATCTGAATGCTTTAAATTATTAATCGTTATGTGAGTTGATATATGCGTGTGTGTGAATGTAAATTTTGAGAAAGATCAAAGTAAAAAATATAAAGAAAAATAAAATATTCCACTACATTTATATATATAAAAAGAACATTTTTTTATATAAAAATATTCTGATGCAATTTAGAGTTGATAACTGAGTGTTCTCTTCTCTTAATGAGCGACTAATTATATGTTACACAGGGTTTTTTATTGCATGCGCAATAAAGGATGCATTTTCTATCTCGTATAATTTTTTCTAGTGATAAACAAAATACAGAATTAATTAGTTGTATATAAAATGATAAATGATATAGATGCGATATATATAATTAATTAATTGTATAAAGTATATTTTTTTTTCTTTTTACTATATTATATCAAAGTTTTATAGAAAAACTTATCACAGTAGTAAGTATCATTCATTGATCAGACGTCCGAACGCACAACGATTGCAACTACTTGCGTGTCTTACTCGCGTCGACTTTTACTACTTCCTTTGCGGAAAAATGGATTATTCAACAGATACATACATGTTTTCACATTACTTAAAGAATTTTACTCATCAATATACAAGTTTTTTAATGTAAATTATATAACACAATCAATTCCTCTTATGATACCAAAAGAATTCTCGCTTAAAACGTTTTCGTTCAATAATAGATTGATATAATTTTGATATATTATATATAAAAATATATAAAAAAATTATATATAAGAATATATAAAAAATGACGGTTGTATACAATAATGGATTATAAAAAAATAGTTCAAGTTACAATAAGGTACCCGTCAAGAGATACGTAAAAAGTATCCCATATAAAGATGTAAATTATACAACACAATCAATTCCTCTTATGATACCAAAAGAATTCTCGCTTAAAACGTTTTCGTTCAATAATAGATTAATATAATTTTGATATATCATATATAAGAATATATAAAAAAATTATATATAAGAATATATAAAAAATGACGGTTGTATACAATAATGGATTATAAAAAAATAGTTCAAGTTAAAATAAGGTTCCCGTCAAGAGATACGTTAAAAGTATCCCATATAAAGATATGTGTGGCAGCAAGCATCATCATTTATAATGCTCATTGTTGGTTAACGATTATAACAATCGATTTTTTTATACTTCTAGAAGTTAAACGTGCTGCGCACGTAGTCGAAGGTCGCGTTACGTACACATAATACGCTTCTTGCGTAAACGCGAGACGGCCCAGAAATCCGGGACCCGGTGTGCGGTAACAACGGACCCCCGGAGCTCGGCCGCTTGTGTAATCGTGGATCGAACCCAGAACGCGAAGGCGCCGACGTGACAGGCCGATTGATCCGCGACATCGGTCGCGACATTGATCGACGCACGTCCGCAGCTCGTCAGCTTTTACCTGTTGCGCGCACCCACGCGATCGACTCGAGTAAATGACGTAATCGAGCAGAACGCGACTCTGCGACCAGTTTTCGTTTTTAATTACTATTCCGCGCTCTCCAAAATCAAATTGTAGGCATCACGAATCTCTATTTGTATATCGAAAAAATAATAAGAAAATAGGCGACATCAATGCAGTTATAAGTAACTCATGATAAACAATTTTTATTGCAGTTTCTGGGGTCTATAACTGGAGTACAAACAACAACGCAGAGAGGGGTTTGAGATGCGGACGAATAGAATTTACGCTAAAGTGGCGGCGGGATAAGCGAGACCAGTGAGAGGTGCAGCGTAGGCGATTGGGGAGGAATACGCAGCACTATAGGGGTAAGTCGGATAGCTGGCTACCGCTCTGGCCGGGAGGCCGATGAATCTCGCTGTTGGTTGTTGCTGCTTCTGACCGGCAACGATGGTTTGTGCAGGTGCGGTCTGCTGTTGCTGCTGCTCCTGTTGCTGGGTCTGCAATCTCGAGGGTCGTCTCTGCTGCTCCTGCAACCGTTGTAATTGCAACTCCTGCTGCTGACGTTGCTGTTGTCCCTGCTGGAAGCGCTGGAACTGCTGAGGCTGAAACTCCTGCTCGCGCGTCGTCGCTGCCGCCGATGATGTCGAAAGACGCGACGTCCGGGCCTCGACTACCTCGACGTCGAAGTCGGATCCGCTGCTGGGAATCGACGGAGCGATCGGCGCCGGGGCGACTGGTCCAAGAGGCGCCGGGGCGATCGGCGTCAGCGCGGCCGGTCTGAGCGGCGCCGCGAGGGCGGCGACGATCGGTTCTTTGCTGACGATCGCATTGAAACCGTTGATCGGATCCGCGGTGTACTCGACGATGCGACGCGTCCCATCGGCCTCGATCAGACTGTAACTACCTCGCACAATGTCGCCGTTCCGGGTCTCATATTGGGCCTTGGAATCGCCGGTTATCGCGTCTTGCACGTCATAAGCAAAGCTATACTGCGGTGCCGCGTCGAAGTCCTCCAGCTTCGCTAAGGGTGTTGCTGCTGGTAGCAAGGCGGGCACTAATGCTCCGCGAGCGAGCGCCGTCAATCCCAGGAATAAGAAGAGCTGGAAATTCGTCGACAATAATTAGAAGATTTTTTAAATTGCTTTATCGAACTTATAAGAACCTTTAATTTTTAAAAACCGAATAGAGGGGTTGTTTTCATGTTATCCTTTTGTCAATTCAGATACCCAAAGCAATTTTAAATGTTCAAAATGTTTCAGTTTTTCTTTGTATTTGGAAAAGAAATGGTCACAGTGTAATGTGTCGAAATTACGCAATTGATACCTGGGTACCTATTGATGAAAAGGTGACACTAAAATATATATATTGACAAATGGATGTAAGATTCAATGAATTAAGGATCTAAATGTTTTTTTCACGCGTATGTATATATGATATTGTGATATTATTTTAATGCAATAATTACGATGAGTAGATTCCGAGATAAGAATTTTAGATATAAAATTCTAACACTCGAGTCTCTTCCCTTACCGTGCCAGCCATGTTTATTCGCAGGAGGATCGTCGAGAAGACTGATACTCCGGGATAAGATTGTTCGTACTTTTATACGCTGTCGTCGAAATGTTTGTGTCATCCGCGACGACGATGATGCTCCTTGTAGCCGAACTAGCGCCAATGTCACCCGAGCCCCACCTAATCACTCTGTCTGTCTCCGTTTCTCTCCTTTTTTTTCTACGTTTTCTTCTCCAGGGGACCGTGCGGTGACCTCCGCGACGATCATTGCGATGTACAAGGAGTCCGCTGTGTTGTACCAATGTTTGACCCGTCGTTGTATGTATACGAAACTTAAGTTTCTTCATTTCGTCGTCCGCCCGTGCATACACGCGACTTGGATGCCAATATGCCGAAGACGCGAGGTCGTCCGACGAAATCGGGTGCCTGAGTACATTGAACGCCTTCGGCCTGCTTCAACCTAACTGTCGATGAGATGTACCAAATTCACGGGGACTCTAAGAGAGACGGAGACCTAGAAGCGGAATGCAATTTTATTATTCGAATTGAAGGGATGACATCTTCAACATCATCACTGCAATTTAAAGGTACAACAAAGAATTTCTTTTTTTTATGTATATAATTAAATTCCTATAAATAATATATAAAAAATATTAATTTACATTTAAATATTGATGAATTTAAAATCGTTGGTCTTTCGACATTTGCAGAAGAATGCGTTGCTTAATGCTAATCCGAAGCCAGTGCAAGCGAACGGTTGATAACCGAGATACGCATGTAATCGTACGCTATGCACGCATGCCATGTGCCAATACATGTCGAACACAGGCGGTCAATCAAGGTCGTTCGACGAAAGCGTGAAGACGTGCATCCTCTGTACAATCGGCCGAATTCTATTAAACATTCACAGCGGAAACGACGACGAGTCTGCCAACATCAATCGACGCATGCTATATTGCGTTAATTATCAGACACGTAATCGTTAATCGCTATTACTCCACTATTTACTATAGCAATACACGTATACATGACATATGTTAAAATCATAATTATTAAACGCGTTTCAAATATATTTCTATTTTAAATTTGTGGATAAGTAAATGTAAACATTTTCCAAGTTCTTACAAGTTAAAAACTTTTTCGTTAATTTTGATGGAAAAAAGTATCATCTTATTAAGCATGTTTATATTTTACGGAAACATTCGACTCTAAAATCAATATACATGCATTCCAATCAATAATTAACCGATTTAAAATAATTTATGTTACTGAAAAAGCTATGTGTAAAATATGAAAATTTTTATTTGTTATCTTTTCATAATATATTTTAATATCATATGTGTCGAAACAAATTCAATGATATATAATACTATACAAAATCATTCAAACATAAAGAAAATATAAATTATGTTATCAATTTCTCAATAAGAAAGTAATGAAAGCTTCTTGAAAGCTAACATTTTTAAAGATTGCATGGATAACGCATTAAAACTTTTGTCTAAAATATTTTGCATCTATTTTATGATTATAGAAATACATATATTTGCATAAAATCAAACATATAAACATAAATTACAAATGAATCATAAATATGAATTCATATATATAATTATTCATATATAAAATGCGAATTAGCATCGAAGAGTCGTTTAAATTTTTAATTTTGAAACATATGAAAAGATATGTTTCTTAAATTTTTGTGCAGTATATAAAAAAAATATATATAAGCTTGTATTCAATTTAAAAAAATTTATATTTAATATATATAATTGCTTAATTTTCCATATATAGTATTACGCAAGTTTTATGGTTTGAATTATAATGATGCACAAAGCTTATGTGTCGTTACATAATTTAGTGGCATTATCGAGTATCCATATAGGTAATAATTTATAAATTCACGACAGATTTAAACTGAATAAAATAAGTCTTTTATAAAATGACGCAAAAATATCGCAGAAATAAGTAGAAGAAAATTAATATAATAAGACAAAGAGTTATTCAAAGAACTAGACTATTCGCATACAGTTTTTAAAAAATCTTTAATAAAAATCTACTGACAAATTAAATGATACATAATAATGTGACTAGCTTTGTCTGATATTATAATATAGAAATATCCATCAGGGATGATAAACGAGTGGCTGCGCTGGAACAACGGGTTTCACCACTGCTAAGGGCTCTCGACGAACGATGGCGTTAAATCCGTTCACCGGGTCGGCGGTGTACTCGACGATTCGTCTCGTACCATCGGCTTCCAGGAGAGAGTAACTGCCGCTGACAACGTCACCGTTCCTACTTTCATACTGGCTCTTCGCGTCACCGGTCAGCGTATCTTGGACGTCGTAGGCATAAGAGTATTGGGGATAAGGATCAAAACTTGTGCTGTCGATCCCAAGTTTGGCGACGGGAAGAGCTGCAGCTGGGACAGCTGGAACGACCGGAAGAGCTGGTGATGGGACAGCTGCGCTTCTACATACCGCTAGCACCGCTGCACTTAGGATCACCGACTATAATACAATATAATACATTAATATAACATAATGATATTGAAGAATAGAATATGGAGATTTTATCTATTAGCTATAAAAATAATTTTAATGTAAAAATTTATATTATTTTACTATATTTTTTCTCTTTCTCTTAAATATTATACATTTATATTTTATAGTCAATTGAAATGAAATCAAAAGATTGCATAATTTTGCGTTTTATGGTAAAGTTAATGGCGCGTTCCACAATTTTTTTCAATACTTTAAAGATACTCGAATCGACTAGATAAAAATTGATATTATTGTGCATAATTTTTAGCGTACCTTGCAAATCATTTTTTCGCTTGTTGTTATTCTTATAGATAAAGATAGATCAATAAACGTGTCGCGAACAAGACTGACGTTTAGTCGAGCAATGACAAACGTATTTATAGGAGCATCAGGGTGGTCGTCGGCATCCCTCGTTGCATTGCAAACAGCTTACAAAGTAGCGTAGTACGTGATGCGATGACAGAAATTTCGCTCTCGATTTTACGATATATATGCGCATCAACGAGGAAGAAAGTCGCGCGAACGTCGAATCATATATTGACCTGTTTATATGTTTCACGCGATCGCTTTTATTACGATTATCGCATTTACAAAATTATCAGACATTGCCATGGAATTTGATAATATAAACGCTTCATTAGCAGGTAATTATATCCTACTCGTCGGTTTTTGGTTTCATAAAATTGCTTTTGAAGAATATAATGATATAGGGACGAGCATGCTTTAAAAAAATCGCACGTAAGAAACCAGTTTTATAACACTGTAAAGTTTAATGCGGTACACTTAAATTACAAGTCGAGATGCGTTGAAATTTTTGCGGCGAGATTAACTTCAGCGAGGCTTTCGAAAATTACTTTAAAAAATAAAAAAGGACACGTATGATTTAGCAGCATTGGATATTTTTTTAAGATTGCGAAAATACGTAATGTAAGGCGTAAAGAGACGAATAATTCTATGAAGAGAGTTGGTGCTTTCACCCTTGCGTAATTCCAGCGGTTTTGGTACCAGCCATAAATATAACGCTTCCGTCATAGGAATGTGACGAACTGAGAATATCAAATATACGAGGATGATTCATGCTTTTTTGAAACAGTCGCGTATTTCGCTTTCAAACTGTAAAAGTACGTGATACACTTATCATGATCATTTTAGTTTGATAGAACTAGAAATTATTCTACGATAGGCTGATAAAATTTATGCTAAAGTTCGAATTGCAAGGCTTTCTTTCTTTTCTATTTTAATTTCTTATTCCTTCTATGTATCAGAAGATTCGAAAAGAGATAGTTGCAAAAATTTGCAAAAGAATTTCTCTTCTTTCGTATCGAAGGTTTTCAAAGAGAGACAGTAAATCACGGATACGGATTCCGATAGGAGTGTGAATCATTTCCGTCTCGTCTCTTCTTTCTTTATAAACAGAGATGAGTCATTCGGTGTGTATAATTAACGGGAGACGATCGTGACCGTGAAACAAGTCTGCAAACTCGCTTGCTTATGCAACGCTATATCGTTGCGCAGTGCATCTCTCATCCTTTCTGTCGCATCTCGGGAAAGGATTATACAAATACATATACATTCAGATTTACATAATTATATCGATGACATGATGTATAATAGCCATGAATAGAGTTATATCGTACAGAGTTATAAACATATTACATATAATATACAAATATCATTTCTATAGATCGTTTATTTAATGTAAAAAGCAATTATGTATTATATATTGACATAAACATACCTATTTGTGTATTGTTCACATAGAAATATCACATATCAATTATAAATTTTACATTTACAAATGACGATATTTTCGCTATAATGTAAACTATATATGTGTATGAGAGATCGATTTTATGTATTACAAATATTTTTTTGAAGTAAATTTATTATTATTTGATATATTTATATATCTATATTGCAAAAAAATTACAAAATTATCTTAACTAATGCGATTAATAATTAACTAACACAAAATCTCTGTCAATTTGTTTATCTTGAATGTTGATTTAATGTTTAACTCGAAATTTATATTGTATGTACAATTTGTATAAATGCTTGATTAAAAAGAATCAAATCAATGTAATGATGCAACTACATATCCAGCATAATGTATAAAATTTATTATTCGCATCTATTGCTAGCAGCCATTCTGATAATACCACAATTTTTCATAAAAAATTATTCAATTTTCTTCATAAAAATTATATAAACATAGAATGCTTGTTAACAAGTTTTATAAATGTGATAAAACACAAAAAATCAATCTAATATTGCGTCTGTTTGTTAATGTATATAATCTATCTAGATGCATGTGCATATTATGCGTATACACAATTCCAAACGTTGCTCACATTATCATTTAATATTATGCAAATATTAAAAAATGTGATATTAGTAAGATTAATATCTCTATCAATTATCTCGATCAATTAATACATTCAAATTAACATGATTTAACATATTAAACAATTTACAAGAATAGTTTCTAACATTTGCCATCATTCATACATTTGTCATACATTCCCCATTCATAGAATTTTGGTAAAATACTGCTATTTAAAATTTTTATAGTAATGAATAAAAAGAAATGGAATATATTTTCTTTAGTCATCTATGGCCATGTAATCTTCTGACGTTTCTTCATTAATAATTCCTGAAAGATTTCAGTACATATTCATTGTTACTTGCATATTAAATTATTATATACTGAAATCTTATACTAAATAAATTATTCTTGATCCAAAAAAGGAAAATAAACTTGAAATTAGAATCTTATATGAGCTTTAAAGAATCATGATGATATCTACCTCAATTTGTTCGTCGCATCTACGTTTGTTGATTCCATTGCAGGTAGTTTCTACTTTAGATGTAGAACACAACCGAATTTTTTTATTCATTGATTTTGAATCATTAACAGGAAGCTTTAATCTATCTGCCTGAGATGATTGACATGTCCTTTTACTTCCATTGTTTAAGTCTCCAGTTAAACTATGCGTATCATTGCTACTGAAACAAAAATGCAAATTAATATAATGAAATATGTATCGCTTTGTTAGCAATCATATTATTTTACTTAGTAAGAACTTACCTTACAGCTGTAACAGATTTGTCTGATACCACGTTTACCTCTGTATCCAAATTCTCAGTGTTTTCACCTTGTCGCTGAGGTAAAGGCATGGCGACTCGTTTATATATATTTAATAATTCGCTTCTACACATTTTCTCGAAGTTGAGTATCTCAATACAACTCTGTGAAGAAACAAGAATGCGTGTTGCAGTTAAGACACACCTAAAATTCACAAATTTATATCCAGTGATACAAATGCTCCTCCGTTATATAAATACTACTTACTGGAATGTAAATTATGATAAATAATTAAATAGTTTAATACATTTAATGCAAACTCGATTTTTTTTTAATAATTTAAAAAATTATTTATTTTATTTCTCTGATAGTTAATACATAAAATGTGTTATTTAAAATCATCATCCCGGTTTAACTCCCATGTTAATCATTTACTACTAAATAATGATTAAATAATTTGACAAGTACTATGTCTTTCTCTCTCTACTCTCATTTATATCGATAAAAGTAGATTAGAATGGATGTTACAAAAATGAGATAAGTATTACGACTCGAGAAGAAAGTTTGTAAACACACGCTTAACCTAGGAGACGACTTACATTCTTCAAGATCTCACGAAGCTGACGTTCTGACAACGACTCCGGATGCGTGAGCTCGTACACGTCCAGCTTCGACATGCTTGTGTACGCTTCCTCGTCGTGTCAGAAGAAGAAAAAATCGCGAACATCTCACACGAGATGATTCAGTGTCGGCCTTTGTTATCGGGCCGTCCCCTTATCGCCACCTCTATCGAACGTATGTATGTGTATGTGTTGTGCGAATAAGTGTTTGACAGGTATTGTTTGACGGGTATTTCCACTGACAGTTCTCTACTTTCGACGCAGATCGAACACTCGGAAAGATTGCAACGAACGAGACATCTTTTTACACATAAGCTTTCATTTTTAACATATATATATATATTATATATGTATTGCATAATCGGAGCACATTTATTAAATCCCGGCAGTTACAAAAAATAAATCGTGTATAAAATAATTGCGTTACCAGGGAACAAATTCATATTGATATCAAAATATATTTTTATTTTGTTCCAATTATTTGTGAACTGTCAGTTTTGAATCACTTCATTTTGTCTCTCTACACGTCACAAATTAAAACTTTCATTCAAATGTCGCGCGCTTCGAAGGAATGTAAATCGAAGTCGAAGTGTTCGTAAATTCTATTCGTAAAAAAAATAATTAACAATCGTGTCTACATGTAAAATTTTCGAACACACCGAATTATATAATTGGCGCGAATTTTGAATACATATTACACTTAGCAATTTTTAATGTAAAAGAAAAAATAGGGCAATCGACGATAAATGGAGGAATAATCGAACTCTATCAGATCAGATTTTTATTTAAAGGTCCTTAGAAAAATATGCGTCAGGCTATTTGGAAAATAGAGAATCTATAAATATATGATATAATAGTTGTATATTGTGAGAAAGAACATCATGAACACACGTGTCGCGCAGAGGAGCTTATTTAAAAATGGCGCTCTTCAATCGTGCTAATTTAAATTCTCTCTCGTTATTAAATAATTGTTATTATAAATTCGCGACGAGCACTATAAGATTAAAAATGCGCGAACGCACTTCAATATCGTGGGAACTCGTACAAGAGAAGATCAAACAAAGTAAGTCGACACAATTTTAGAGTATAACCTATAAGCTCGCAAAAACAGGCTGCAATTATTTTTTTATTTGGAAATTTATATTAATCTTCTCCTAGATTTCATTTCTTCTCAAATATCTTCTCAAATCAGTGCGACTTAATTTTTCGATGTCAATAATAATATCATTTTTTTCATACAACTACATCTGATGATTTATGTCACTCCGGTGATTTTGTAGGCTCGGAAAAGAAAACAGAATCGTTGAATGTTAAGAGCACGACGTTCGAAACTAAAATTGCCAATCGAAGAGATCAGGCACGTCGAAGTATATTGGTACAGGTATACTCGTCAAATTCACAAGACGATCTCCAGAGCTACTGTGCTCAATTTGGAGAAATTTTAAGTATGCACCATTACCAAAAGGACAGACAACATAATTATATTTTAATTGAATTTAAAGATATGGTATCGATAAATGAAATTATGTCATTTGCTTCCTTTATGGACGGAGACTTAATAGCCCCTGTTAAATCGTCCATATTTTGGTTCCGCAAAGGACAAACATTACGTCAAAAGATGAATAATCAGAGAAAGATAATCCTAGCCACAAAAAATGGTATCGTGTATCCTACTGAAAATGAGATTGCAAATGTCTTACAAGATGCAAAATCGGTAACATCATTAATATATTTATATTGTTAAATTATACATTAGCATTATTTGAAGCTAATATTTGTAATTTACAGATATCAGGACAAATAACAAATCTGTATGAAGCATTAAAGCTGAGCGATTTAGAAACAAGACTGAGATTTCACACTGCGCATCACCTAGAGCAGTATTTTTCTAAACTATTTCAAAATACAAGAATTTTACCTTTTGGTTCCTCTTTGAATGGGTTTGGAAGGAAAAGATGTGACCTTGATTTAGTTCTCGTTCCTGATAACATTGAAGAAGTAAATACAATACAAGTAATATATGAATTATCATTTAAATTCTTTCAATTTTAACATAAATGTTAATAAAATATAACATTTCCATAGTATAATTCCGCGAGTAGATTAGTATTTCATACAAAACCTATGAAACTCAGTGAAAGACAGGAAACCAAAGAGTTTATGGAAATACTCGCAAGTACTATGCAACATTTTATCCCTGGAGTTCGTAATGTACGAAGAATCCTAGAAGCTAGAGTACCTATAATTAAATTTTATTACGAATATACGAATATTGAATGTGACTTGAGCACAACAAATATGTAAGCTAAACTATTTAAATCTGACTTACAGAAATATATAGAACTAAGAATAGTTTTATATATTTTCATAAAAGAATTGGACACATTAAAACTGATCTCTTCCATAGGGCTGCCATATATATGTCTGAATTGTTAAACTTATATGGAGAAATAGATTGGCGAGTAAGACCGCTTGTTACAGCAATACGAAAATGGGCAAAGAGTCATGAGATAACGTGTGACGTACCAGGACAATGGATAACAAATTTCTCCCTTTCATTATTGGTGCTCTTCTACTTACAACAAAAAAATATACTACCGTCCTTAAAAGCATTGAAAACGTATGCAAGTAAGTCAAAATCATAAATCTGTAGGCAACGCAATTATATATAAAAATTATTTCTTTTTTTTTATATACCTTTTTTCTTTTTATATAGCACGCGATGACATTCGTTGTACAGAAAATGGTATCGATTGCACTTTTCTGCGGGATATTGAAAAATTGCCGGCCGAATACAAGTATAAATCAAATCAAGATAATCTGGAGTTGCTGTTGTACGGTTTCTTTGAATATATTTCGACATTTGACTTCCACACAAAGGGGATATGTATCCGCGAAGGAGTGCCGATCCGGAAACCATCGCGCTCGGCGCTTCACATCACCAATCCCCTTGAGACGACGTTGAACGTGTGCAAGAACGTAAACATTTACGAGTTAAATCGCATAACGGAGAAGGCACACGATGCGGTATATACGTTAGAGACTGCTAACGAATCCAGAAATAGCAGTTGGGGTCTTTTGACTTTATTGAACATGAAAACCCTTGACGTAATAAATCTAGTGAAATCGAGAAGCAAAAAAGAACAGAATACCGCGGATTATTTGGAGGATTATTCTCATGAAGTTTCTGAAGTCGTTATCAAGCCAAAGAAGAAAAAAACGGTATGATGATTAAACAAATAGCAGTGTTATATGTATAAATTTCATCTCTGCAGAAATATACAATGTATATTTCTACACGAGATGCTTGTAATAATTTTTTTATATCAACGATTTTGAATATCTAGTGATGGTGCCAGAAAAATAGACATTTTATGCAAAACAAAAAAAAAAAAAGGAAAAGATAGAGAAGAGTTTTGTTGCAACCAGTTGTATGTACTGTACTATAATATGTGCATCGTGAAAGAAAATAGGAGAGACAATGTACATAAAATATCGACATTAATTATATTAATTACATGAATCGAAAACGAACATGTGTCAATTGTAACATATCACAATCAATTATCCGGCTATTTTATTAGGAAATTAATTATATTCCTGTTATATATTTTGGATACTTTCGAATAGGATGACTAAAAATTTTTCGTCTGTTAAAATTTCTAATTCTAATATGCAACAACTGATAAAATTTGACCTATATATCGAGCATATCTCTACCATGTTTTACACATGACACACAACCGTGAGCACTCGTAAAATTGAAAACAAAGACGATGCGTCACTTTCACAGATGCGATACATATGTATCTGTATATCGAAATCAAGGATATATTTATTAACTTGTATATATTTTTTACTATACCAGCAATTCGACATTTCTCATACATGCTTACAGTGTACATTCGCTATAATTAAGAACGTTCATTATAATCCTCGCTGAGGATTATAAATGTTCGCTCTCGGTTAAATTCGAAACAACGATTAACGATCGTATTGACTTTCACAAGGAAGAGCTGATTCCTCGTAACACCGATTATACTTTGCGTGTATTTCTCGCTTTAGGTAATCTTGAATATTATTACGTCAAGTGACAATCGATAACGTATGATCGTGAAACGCCCGGGTAATGACGCGACCCATCGAAGGGCGAATCTGAATTTATAATGGCGATTACGAGTAAACGCGCTCGAATTAGGCTATTCTTCGCGAACGAATATCGTCGATTAAATTCGTAACGTATCGAGATTGGCAGTGTTGTTTATACTAACTATAAATATTACCGTATTTATTCGGCCGATCGAATTGCGCAACGTACTTTACTGGACTATGCATCCAACCCGTTGACGTTAAAAGATAAAAATCATCGTGTAAGGTGATTAAGGCTCTCCTGGCTCCTCACCGACCATATGTTGGAATTGTGACGTCAGAGGCGAGAAAACACACGCTAAAAATTCTTAGCCATTTCGAAATAAAAAGATAATTTTAACACACTTTTAACTGTAAACACGTTTAACACACTTTCAGCTGTAAAATGACTGTAATATGAAGTCTGGTTTTGCAAGTGCAATTCCATTCCGCATAACAAAGTCTGATATCACGATTATTTTACGGTTGTTGACTGATTGTCAAGGAAAAAGATGAATTTTCGAGGTATTTTAAAAGTATTTCATCGAAACATTTTTTCATTTAAAAATGACATCTAAGAATTTTCAGCGTGTAATTTCTCGCCTCTGACGTCACAATCTAACATAGCGAGGATGCAGGAGCCTTAAACAGATTTGCGTAATTTTAACAGAGAAAAGAAAAAATGTACAGGACTTTCTCTTCCATATAATGAAACCGAAATAATATAGATATACGTCAAAAGGTAAAATTAAATCAGTTATCTTTTTAGATAATGAATTTAAATTGCTACGTCAACCGCGGTTCTTCTGCAATTATTGTACATTATATACGCGCGTTTTTCTTTTATATTCGAAAACTTTTCTTCCTCGCTATCCCTAATCAAGGCTCTACGTGTATCAACCGTCCCAGACAAGTCGCAGCTCAACAATACGAGTAGCGGATAATCAGTATATGATCATACAACTGTTTTACTTCCCCGTTAACGTCCGATTTACAGGATAGGCAACGACACTTCGACCTTCGGCGCTTTTTTCATCATCAAGTGCAATTAAAATCGCTATAAAAAAGATGCTCGCGAGAGTCGCATACGATATACAACTCCGATATACGCGAGGCACATACATAATATAAATTTCGAAAACTTCGGAATAATACAAATACATCATGCATTTGGTCGGGACCGTGAAAGAAATTTGACAGTCTCTCGAAAAGCAATATAAAGACGAAAGTGCACTTGTCTCGAAGGTGCTTCTCAACAGCTATTCTTTTTTTTACGACAGATATTTATATATCGCGCAATATAGGTTTTTTAATTATTGTGTTTTTCATATATTTTGTATGATTATTATTATTATTATTATCGATAGAATGTCCAAAATCTTCGAAAAACCGATAATCGTCGGCTCTCGCAACAATACGCGCGTTCCGTTGCTAATAAATAACAAGTATATTTAAGCCACGTGGGGGCACGGCGTGTTTATTTAGTCTTTCGATAATATTCCTTATCTAGACTCGCGGATATCTTATTCGAGATATCTTATCCTCGGACAAACCAACTCTTCACTTCTTTCATTACTCTGTCGCGCGCGAAGAGAAGAAGAAGAAGGAGCTGCAAAAGGATCGAAAACGACGGAGAGTAGCCCTATTTAATTCGTCTTGCTCTTACGATGATGACGGTGATGATGTAGATGGTGATGTCGCAGCTGGGAGCGCGTCTCCTGCACGGCCGCTACCAAAGTGCGCACCGCCTCCTCGTGGCCCTCGAAGCTGTCCGCTTTCTTCAGCTGGCCGAGGGACGACGCTCCGGGTCCCACCCCGTCGCTGCCGCCGCGCTTGCTCTTGGGCCGCGGAAAGGTCTCCCAGGAACGCTGCTTCTGCACGAGAGACGACGACGTCCGTGACGTCGGTCCGATCAAAACGACCAGGGTTTTCCGGGGGTCCTGCGCGATGGATTGTTGATGACCTACCGTCCCATCGGCGATGCTCGATCGCCTGCTGTTCCCGGAACCAGTCGTGCTCAGGCTGTCGCAGCTAGCGCGTCGCCGCCTCCTCGCCTCGGCCGCCTTCGCGCCTTCGGCGTAGAACAACTCCTCGGAATCGCTAGCCGGATAGATCTTGGCGGCTTTCACGCTAACCGGGATCGGCGGTATCTGCTCGTCCGCCGGAACCGCGTGCACTTGCGCCTGCACACGCTTCTTGGCCTCACCCATGCTCGAGGCCTCCGAGATTCGTTGATACTCGCCTTCATCTCCTGCTGGAAGCACGTGTCTTTTTTTAGAGGATTGTCTCGACTCTTCTTTGACCGCATGATTGCACGATTTAAATAAAAATTCGCTCCGACGACAAATAATAAGACATTTATATATAATAATTTCTGTGAAAAATCGGCGCGAGACAGACGTTTACATCTCTTAAATGTAATGTATTTAAGGCCTCCGTATCCCCCCTCCCCTTTCCCGGTGGACTACAAAGGAAGACCTGTGTGTCATAATGTATAAGTATTCGTTTGCGCAAGGAAGACTTCTCCGTCCGATTCTCTCATTTCTTACCGAGATGAGGCGGTTGCTGCGAATCGGTACACCTCTCTGCCTGATCGAGAGCCTCGGCGGACGTATCACCGGCGCCGCCCTTCAGGGAGCGATACAACGACCGCATCTTACCGCCGGACGAGTGTCCGGGCGGCGTCTTCGGTTTCGAACCGTCGGGCGATTTGCGCGAGCGCCGACTCTGGCTGCGATCGCGACCGTCCTCCCTGCCGGGTGACTTCTTACGATCGTCCTTTTGCGTCCTGGCCTTCTCGATCAGCTGGCTGAGCACACCCCTCTTCGGATCGGTCGACTTGGCCGTCCCGTACACGACTATGTTGCCGCTCGAATCCAATACGGCTCCCACGCCTCCGGACGGTGTGCGACATCGCGTCGGGATTTCCTTTGTTTCTGCGAAACAGACATTTTTTGCGACTAATTAAATGCGAATTTTGCAACGGATACATCTCTGTCATTTTATCGATTTAAGGAGCATGCTTTCTCTCACCCTTCATATATAACGCGTTGTCGGCGCTCGTCGTGGTGCCACGAGGATGACGATGATCCTTCGTCGGTGCCTGAGTTTGCAGATGCGGCTCCTGCATTTGTAGACGAGCTAGATGATCCAGCAAAGCCTGCAGATGTTGATTGTCGGCGGCGTCCGCCGCGGCTAGACTCACTTCTCCGGCGCCGATACCCGTGGAAAACGACTTTACGAAGGGCTCCAGGTGCTGAGCGAGCGCTTGCAATTTCTTCACTTCGCTCCTTAACGATAATATATCGTTCATCTACAAATAAAAAGCAAAAGTTACAAAGATAGAACGATAAAAAGAGGCGCAATGAAGACCTGGCAAGTAGAACGCACCTGCGAATGAAAGATCTCCTTTTCTATGTGAATCCTACACACTTGCTCTTCCCAGAGCGCGTCAAAGACATTTCTCAGTCGCTCCAGTTCTATTTGATGATGCTCCAGCTGTTGCTCCAACAAACGGCAATCCCTCGCCACGTGGTCGTAACGCGTACCTAACGGCGGAGTGTTCGCTCTCTTCAAGACGGAAACGTCCCGCTGCAACTCACCCAATCGTTCCTTCACAGTCATTAGTTGTTGACTCAGTTCCTTCAGTTGGGTGTCGAAGGTCCGGCAATGATTGGAGAACGGGCCGCCGTCAGTTGGTCCGCCCTTGGGCGGTAGTCTCTGACCAGTCTTGCTGCTCTGTTGGGAAAACGTATTCCTGACGTATAAAAATGTGAATGATGTGTACAACATGTTACAGCGATTTTACAACTTTGCGTTCTGTATTAACTCTCATCATCGACTATGGACTATTTATATTACGATCTAAAGATTCTGTAAAGGAAACTCGATTTCTCTCAAATTCTCAAGACACAACATAGTCCTCTACTTTCTTTTTTTGGCTACCATAGCTATACACATAATCAGTATACAAGCCATACATCGTACATATGTTTACCAACTAAAGTCCTGTAAACGGAAAAGATACTTACACAGAAAAATGGCAGCGAAAAGGAAACTCGTAATACGAAAGTAAAGGCAATCACGATGAGAATCATCATCATCAATCAACTGTGAGATTGCTCGATTCGTCCGCACATACCTGAAGTATCTGCGGATCTGACTGTCCTAACGTGTGACCCGATGTTTGATCGTACAGAGATTCTACGGTGGCGGCGGCTTTCGCGATTTGCGCTTGCCCTATGTAGGGCTGCAAGGCGCGGGCGAAGTCAGCGCGATAATTTGTCCTGATGTGGGCGGCGAGCAGGGGTGGCCGCGATGGATGACCGAGTTGGGCCACTCGGCTCAGCCGGTCGAGCATCGGATGAGCCAGTTCCAGGAACTGATATTTGGTCGCGCCGCTCGTGAACGCGGTGCACAGCATCAGGTGCATCTGCAGTACAGGTAACGCGCTACCCAAGGACAGCAGCTGTGCTCGCACCATTCGCTCTTTGGTCTCAAACTGACGTTGCAGCTCCGAGAGCACGTAGGCGTGCGTCTTGGTGATTGCCTCCTGCATGCCCTGGCAGAACGCGCCCAGGGCGCGCTTCTCGGATTCGAGGCTGTGACGTAACTCGTCCAGCTGGGACTTGAGTGCCAGCACGCCGTCCTTGATGCCGGCCTGGAGCTCGCAGATGGAATTCACCGCGCGTTCCATTTTCTTCGAAGCTTGCTGCCAGGCGCTCTCTATGTCCACGCAGTGCACCCGCGCGTCCGCGGGCGTGTCGCGGAAACACGTGGCGCATAACATGCACTTGGCGCTCTGGCTGTACATTATGTATTGCTCCCCGTGGCTCGGACAGCGACGTTGAGTGTCCTTGGCGCATTTGCTCATGTGAACCACCTCGTGGGTGGAGAACATCTTGGCGCGATGGGTGTGCTCTCTGCAGTGGGTGCAAAGCGCTTGTCCTGTAAGCGGGGGAGATTCTCTTTCTTTACGTATATCTAGATACTGGACGCGCATTAATAAAAATATATAAATGTATATATGATATTACGTACCGCAAGTTGTGCAAAAGAACATCGTGGACTTGTCACGCTTGTCACAATTGGCACACGGTGGATTCTCAGAGTTCGCCAACTCCACCAACTGACGTATCAGCTGATCGGGCGGTGGTAGCTGCGCTCCATCCTTTAACTGTGTCTGTTGCCTGCATATATCATCACGAAATATTAGAAATTGCATGCAATATTATTATATTTTATATATCAATTATATACATTAATTAAATATATAATTATATATAAATATTATACAAATGATATAAATGATAAATCAACATTGAATAGATATATAGCGAACAATGTAGAATACAGCTTAATGAAAAATGATAAATAACATATATATGGATTGTAAACATTTTTTACTAAGCTGTTCAAGTCATCACCAACTTGAGAAGATACTACAGATATGAATATAAATAAGAATTCATGACAGAAGAAATGAGATAATGAAATCGGAGTCTGTACGTATCGTTATACCCGCAGATGGGACACTTGATCGTCCCGTCGATGTGCGGGCCGTGTATGCAACGTGCGCAGAAGGTGTGGAAGCAAGAGAGCAGACAGGGCTCGTTGTAGTAGTCGTGGCAGAGACCGCAGACGAGGGGGTTCCTGGGCCCGCCGCCCGGCACGCCCGTCGTGCCGTCGTCGCCGACCCCGTCGCCGACCGTCGTGCCCGAGCTCGCCATCGTCGTCGACGTCGGCGTCACTCGGCCACCCTGAGCCTGAGCGCCCGTTAATCGCGCGCGCGCGCGAACCACGACACGCGCCTTCCGCCCTCCTTCACGATACCGCTCCCTGTCCCATGCTCGCGTACCCCTCTGCAGCAGAGAACGGATGCGGTTTATCGGGATGCTGCGCGCGCGTAACTTACCGCGAGGCAACATGGACAATAAGTGTACTCGGCGTCCGCGCGTCCACGACGGGGATGATGGGTGCGATATGCGGGATACCGCGGACGCGGAATATCTCTAGAATATGATGTTTACCCCTAGACGGCGCGTTGGCCCCGTCCCGCAGAGAGCCCCGACCAGAGAGGGTGGTTTATCGGTTGCTGCTCGCTCGACCCGTCATTCTGACGTAGCGCGCGCGCCCGCGGCGAGACCAGTCTCTGCGTCTCTGCGCAACTGACAATTACTCCGAGCGACTGACGTCACCGCAGGGCAAAGCGCTTGCCGCCCCTTTCTCACCCTTCGCCTCCTTAACACACAACATATATACATATTTTATATATATATACACGATTTTGTGTATATACATTTGCGGGTGTATATGCGCACGCGTACAAAGAAATTCGTGCACACACAGCCCGCCCTTTCGTTTCTCGCTTCCACCCCGTTTCACAGCCTGCACCACCCTCGCGTTTCGCGTATATGTGTACACATATTTACGTACACATGCAGAACAAACGTATATGTATATATGATGACGATGATATATATGTTGGTGCAAGAAGGTGCAGGCAAACGCCCGGGGCGGAGAGCAACATCTAAAAACAAAGCATTAATCGCATAATCTCCTCCTGTTCCCCTTTAAAATGACGATGATTCTCTACTTACTTTTTATAATTACATTCTCGCATCCTTGTTATGCATATAAATGTGTATTTGATTTTCACGGTACAGGCGGCTCATCCCTCCTTCTTTCGGAGGGATTCTTCGAAATAAACTAGTAGGGTCTGCGGAGGATACATCTCGTATTTGGGGCAAAGCTGCCTTTCGATACATGGATGATATTTGTACACATACACATGCAAAGATGTTTCTACCATCGTTCTACTTTCTTTTTTCATTTTATTCACGAGAAGCGCTCCTATCTAACGGAAATAAAAATTCCAGATACTGAAATAAAAAAAAAATAAATTAAACTTTATTAAAAGATTTATTATTTATACTTTATATTTTTATATTTATTAATATACGATCGACAATCGCAAAATTTTATTTAAATCAGAATAATTGCAACTAAACAATTGTTAAGAAAATTAATTGATTAATTGTTTATACATTGATTATTACCATAACTTATCCTAATTATACCGCAATTATGTAGTAGCTTTTTTCAAACTCGTTCCATTGTACTCTACAAGTACGTACGTCCTCAAACGGGTCACTGGGAGTCGATTCAACGTGACCCCTCTGCATTCTCTTCAGCTTAAGAGCCGGACAATACTTTCCAGCTTGACCCGTCTAGATCCGATTGCCGTCCCACAAACGCATTGCCGCAGAATGAGGATTGAGAGAGATTGCGATCAAACTTTCCTTCCGCATCGCGTGTCGCATCCCCACTGTTTTCTATCTAAATTTCAATTATCTCAATTATCCAATTATCCTTCCACTTACATACATTTACATATATACTTCATTTCGAATTTTCTCTTACATTTGAATTCTGATATATCTCTGCTTTTATCAAAATTATATTCTCTGCTCGTTTTCGTTGAAATTTTTTTTACATTAATCGCAGTTAATAATAAATAAGAAATATTTGCGATAATAATAAAAGATAATTTATAATATAAAATAATTATAATAATTTATAAAATCTATATAATAATGATTTATAAGATAAAAGAGAAAAGGAGACAGAGAGTTTTCTAGATTTTCGCGCGTTTTTATATTGAAAGGAGAGAATATTATTGCAGTCTCTTGATGGATATTATTCCTTCTGTGTTCTTGTAAGAATTCCGAACCTTACGCTTTGCAATTCTGCGTCGCAAACTTACCTATTCATCGCTTTATAACGGTCGATTCATGGCAAGCGCCTTCACGTGCTTCATCTATTGTCGGCGATTCGCAGTTTAACCGGATGCATCTGCGGCCTCTTTTATTCTTCATTCGCCCCTTGCAGCCGCATACACACCTATATATGCACCCACACGCACATTATTAAAAGAATACATAAAACATTCTAGAAATCCAGATTAAATTTACGTGTTATTGAAGGAAAAAAATTGCAAACTTTTTCTTGTTAAAATTTTTTTTGTAAATCTAAATGTAAAATATGTAATTTAAAAATTCAATTTTAAATGTCGCACGTGCGTTAATCCTTTCAAAAATCTTATTAATTCCCGCCAAAATAAACTGAAATTGTCTATTTATATATTGATGTATATATATGTACCCAGATAGCCACAGTAATTATGACATCAAAATGCATCATTTTGATGGCAAATGATGCATTTTGACATCAAAATGATGTCATAATTACTGTGGCTATCTGGGTATATAGTATATGTATATGTTACTCAATTCATATATATATATATTTTTTCAATTCTTTAATTTTGATAATTTGCAAATTTCGTGATATCAAGAAGAAATTAAGGCTAGACTCCTAATTTTTGAAAAGGTTATATCGGAATAACCTTGAGATTGGTGATCCGCTAATTCCGCTTCCGCGCAATCCGCAGCCTAATTCTCTACTTCTGTCAATTTATTGACACAGTAATTAGAAATACACTACGATTACATAATATACGAGAATTGCAAAATATAAATTTTTAGTCAAGTTCCTTCTTCGTCAATTTCCAAACAAAGAATCCGCTATATATATATATATAAATGTAATATTTATATACCTCGATAAATTCGGCCTCCGATAAATGATCAGTTCGACTAGAAAAATGTAAGCAAGCATTTCTTTGACAGTAGAAAAATGCAAATCATGTGGGAAAACGTGTAAATAAAGTTGAAGTTTGCCGACAGTCAAAAAACCATAAGCCATAAAACATAAAGAAAAGTGTAAATAGAGTAGAATTTGTATGGTATAAAACTATCGACGTATCGACCAATCGTAAATCGAGAATCTCGAGCGCCATTAATTGCGCCCGCATCGGAAGTGTTCGCCAGTGTTTACAATTCAATGTGATTCAAAGGTATGGCGGATCAATAGTTCGCGTTCGCTATCGTGTTAATTCTAGTTAATTCTGTCAATTCGTCCTGTCTAGATATGCCGTCCCGCGCAGAGGATATTCTCAAAGGCTTTCAAGTGTATCCTTTCGATATTAATTTTTTTTTTATTTAAAACAGAAAGAGTATTAGGTAAACACACAGTTTGACAGATCCAATAGGTTATGTTAGACAGAATCCAGACTTTAGAAATTTTATTATGCATTCTATCTGGAGTAATATATTCAGAATTTGAAATAAAGCAAAATGCATTTCCTTAATTTTATATTTATTTATCAGTAATTGGATGAATCTGCGCGATGCCGATAATGGAAAAATTTTATGGCAGGGTAACGAAGACTTGTAAGTAGTTTTATTGTTCATTGACATGAATAATCTATAGATTAAATTATTATCCTAAAATTATATTAAAATATATTAAATTATTAGTATGGTTATAGATATTACCTGATATGTATTATTGTTAATTGACATGAATAGTCTATAGATTAAATTATTATTCTAAAATTATATTAAAATATATTAAATTATTATCTTAAAATTATTCGTATGATTATAGATATGTATCTGATATGGATTATTGTTAATTGACATGTGTGTGTGAATAGTTATAAATTAAATTATTATCCTAAAATTATTTGTATGATTATAGATCTGTACCTGATATGGAACATGAGGCACGTGTACCAAAGAAGATTCTACGATGCCGTGCAGTATCAAGAGAAATTAACTTCAGCTCTGCAGAGCCTATGGAGAGGTTTCGTTTGGAGCAAAAAGTGTTATTTAAGGGACGTTGTTTGGAAGAGTGGTTCTTCGAATTTGGATTTGTTATTCCTAACAGTACCAATACATGGCAGAGCTTGATTCAAGCCGCTCCAGAGAGTCAAATGATGCCAGCAAATATATTGAAGTAAGTAGAGATATACATTGTGAATTGTTTAGAAAGATTTTAGATTAATAACATATGTTTCCTTTGTGAATAGTGGCAATGTTGTAATAGAAACAAAGTTCTTCGACGATGATCTCTTAGTATCTACAAGTCGAGTCCGTCTATTCTATGTCTAAGATGATTTCCGAACGGTCCTCATAATCGGTCCACATATAAAAACGGGACCAAATCAGTGTGAACGGATTTTACATAAAAAAATATGCAAAGAAGTTCTTATGCGGATCAGTTTTCATCTCCCTGATCTCTTACATTTTATATTTTTTATGCGTGTATTAGCAAAGTTTTGACACTTTGATAATTTTGTAATAATTTACACTGCTAGAGAGTTCAAACACAAATTCTGACAAAATAAATACTAAATTTTATCAATATTATTTTTGTTTATACAAGGCCTATCTAGATTGTGTCTTTCATTTTTACAATGTAGAGTAATACTATGCACTGTTAAGGCACACAATTGATTATTTATCGAGTATTATAAATAAATATAAGTTTTGTACATATTGTAATACACCAAACAATAAAGTTTTAAAAGAAGTTTAAAACTCTGTATATGCATTTTGTAATCTATCAGAAAATATTACTATATAAACCTGTATGTACCTGTATTATTTAAAAATAATGAAGTTTTAATAATAAAATTTATGAATCTCTTTTTATAAATTTTATTATTAAAACTTCATTATTTTTAAATAATGCAGGTACATACAAGAGGAATTATTAATGCAGGTACATACAGGACGAATTATTAATGCATAAATTGACAAAGTTTACAGTTATTATACACCTTGTCAATATATATGAGAGACTGTTACTTCATATTTAAAAATAGTTGACGTCTATTGCTATGAAAATGCAAATTATAAAACTAATATAAATATAATTATAAAAGAATCGATTCGTCATAAGAGAAGTCGTGAGAAGTCCACAACTTCTTTCATCACATGGCCGTATAATATAACGGTTGCACTATTGATTAGTGGTGCACAAGCAACACATTTTTTTGGCTTCATCACATCCCTTGAGGGAGTTCACAAGTTTAGTACATTCTGTCCCCTACTTTGTCTATACATCGTATCCAGGTGTAAAGAAAGAAAAACACGAAGGACGAGGAAACGTCGGAGTTGTCGCACAGCTAGCTCGAATCAGACTTCAACATCAACAACTCATCATAGCGTGTTATAACACGATACGATTGATTCAATTAACATACTCGACTTGTCAACTTTTCCCCCTCAAGAAATAAATCCTCGCGGAATGGATCTGAATGAGGAAGACGAGAGTGTAAACGAGAACGGCAGGCAGCTGTTTCTGGTCGCAGGTACTCCGCGCGATCCTCTGGTATCAACTGCGATCGTAGCTTCCACGGCGGATGTCCCGGACGATATCAATCAGAGTGATGATCTGCAGTCGAGCGCCTTGGCCGGTCTGATCGGCGGCGCGCAATCCACCTCGGTTTGCTTCCCTACGAAATTCAGTAAGTGTATAACGATATGCTGTCGCGTGTGTGCTGTGTCAATCCCCGGACCTGATTTAATTAACCCGCCTCCTGTTTCGACCCCTCCGAAGTTGGAGTAGCGTTGCTCAATCAAGTTATTGCTAAGTGCATTAAGTGGATCATCCACACAGTCCACTCTTTTCCTTAAATAAAGTTAGCGGTAATCAGTTTAACAGTTTATGTAGCGGTCTCCCACCTCTCTGTGCAATAAAACGTTGGAAACGTGAAATAATACACTAGCGATGTTCGCGAATTCTTATTCCAATGTCCTTGCTTTACAACAGTCTGGTCGGATCAAGGCGAAATAAATTGTATCTTCTTGTAGCGTATGATTTCACTAGTTCTGAAAGCGAGGAGAGGCCGTCCTGTGTCATCGGCAAGAGAAAGCAGCGTAGATACCGCACCACATTTTCCAACTTCCAGCTAGAGGAGTTGGAACGTGCTTTTCAGAAGACACATTATCCGGACGTATTCTTTCGCGAGGAGCTCGCAGTTCGTATCCAATTGACAGAAGCTAGAGTACAAGTAATTTCTATATACATATATATATACATATATCTTGTGTGTGAATTTAAATTTCCGGAATATCCAGATATTTATACATATATATATATATATACATGTCTCTGTCTTATAACTACATTTTTTTAACAATACAAATAGGTATGGTTCCAAAACAGGAGAGCGAAATGGCGTAAGCAGGAGAAGCAGTGTAAAATCACGACTCACATGACGTCACATTTACCAACGTCGGATTGTCAAGAGGTACAGCAGCAACATCAATCACAGCAACAATCAGATCATCTATTGCTGGAATCACCATGCAGTCCACCTCCAATATACCTAGGTATGGAATGGGCAGGTTTCTCTCCTTATAACAACACAGATAGCGCGTCATCCCTCATCGTGAATAAGCCACCAGATGCAGAAGCTGACAACAATCCACTACTCGATCCAGAACTGTTACAACTAAAACCTCCACGTTCCTAATAATATTAAAATTATATACATATATATATATATATATATTTGTAATATGAATAACGTTCCACGTTTTCTAAGAGGAGAGAGAGAGAGAGAGAGAGAGTTACGTAATATACTAGATATATAATGTAAAGAAGTTGTAATAATTTCAAGCGAAACATATTTGCTATAAAATTGCGTGAAAGTATAGACCATTACTTTGGGTTATCATAAACCATGAAATGTACTTTGAAGATAAGAGAGATTTAAGATTTTAATATTAATTACAAATAATATATATACATTATTTATAATTAATATTAAAATTTTAAATCTTTCTTATCTTCAAAGTATATTTCATGGTTTATGATAACCCAAAGTAATGGTCTATACTTATATATATATATATATATAGAGAGAGAGAGAGAGATTTATTATTCAACTAAAAAAAATATATTGCAATTATATACTTTCAGATTAAGTATACACATATAGAGTTTGTAAAAAGAAAGATACAATATTGCACTCTATTTCAGGTAAATTTTTAGAAATATAGATTATATAAAAAAATTAATAAAAAAATTTGTATTTCGTAGAAAATTCTTTCTGCGCGAGATGTGTTACTCCAATGTAAAATAGTAACGTCATCTTTATTCAGTGTGTGCATATATTACAAGTCAGTAAATTAATTAAGATATTCATTAATCGATGGATCCTAGATGCGAATAAGCTTGTCTACGATGCTCCTCCCAATCTTTCAAATATCGAAAGCCATTCCCTTTTTGTATCATCACTGACAAAGCGTTTTAGCCTTCGAAATTATCTCTAAGAGAAATCATCCGAATCATCCTTTCAGATAATTATTAAACTTAATTCAATAATAATTGCCTTTGTCGATCAGAGGTCTTAATAGCTCTCAGCAAAACATTTTTGAGATGCATCTCATGTGAAATAAATTAGTGACAAACGTTAAAAGGTTACGCGATATATGAATACTCATCCGCGCTATTTACAGTACGTTCGATATACTGTTTATCTATCAGAGTTTCAATGCACTTCTTAATCATGCCAATGGAAGGTGCAAAAGTAACTTTCGATTGACTCAACACCTAAAATAAACATAATAAATTAAGCATCACTTTCCCAGACAAGTATGGTTCATAAGAAAGTATCTCACTAAAACTCACCTCCTGTATGAGTTGATTATGTCTCAATAGTTTACGGCTCTTCATGATACGAACTATGGCTGCTTGCAAGAACATCTTTCGGTCCTCGTCCACACTGCGATGCGTCGCCTCCGCGTCCTGTGGCGCATCACGTTGTAACACTCCAGTCACGCGGAACTTGGTTCTCTTGTTGGAGTAATCAAAATTGAGCGTGAGAACAGTGTCCTCCTCCAGTTCGCTGGATTCCTCCGCGGATTTATTGAGGATCTTGCAATCTACAAGACTGGCGGCGTGTTTCACCAGCTGATCGTGTGACAGACGTAACGATACCGCCGCTTCTCTGCACGGTATCGCGTCGCAGTGCTCGAAAAGCAGCAGTAACGCCATTTGATATGTCTGCACGGTTACCAGATACGATTTCTTCAAGTAATTGAACTTGAGCTCGCCCTGACTCAAATGATGCAGCCACGTGAGTTTACGACCGCTGAACTGCATGTGATAGAACGATTCGAAAGCCTGTATGGACTTTTCCAACTGCTGGGGAACGTGAAACGGTCCAGGAGACGGTGGCAAAGCGAGCGGCCAAGCACCAGCTTGCAACACCTTGACCCCGAAACCGGTGCCCAATTGATTCTCCCCATCGCCTTCCCGTAAGGTCGCCGTGAATTTCGCATTGAGATCCGCCGAGACGGACATGTCCGTAAACATGCGATGCAATTTGTTCGTGAACTCGTAACCACACGCTCGCTTTAGATCGTCGATCATCATCTCCTCGGCGTCCATCGACTGCGACTGCTGATGTATCAGTCGCTTTGCCAACATACGCGAGTAGAATTTTTGAAATACATCCTTGTCGTCGACATACTTGAACACAGTTATGGAGCGTCTCAGTTTGTCCTCGATTTCGCTCTCTGAAGCCGCTTTCGGGGACTTTTTCAACAAAGAGTCGCAATATTTCGCCAGCTAGAAAAATAAATACAAATGTATTATAATTTATTAATAGAAACTGTATGCTAACATGAAAATATTATCGCGTTTATAAAATTTACCAATTCTGGTGCTCGAACTGGCTGCTTTGGAGCAGGCCTATAATTCACGATAGCAGAACAAGCTTTATCAAGAGCACCTACGAAACTTTGATCACCTTTGAACACATCTCTAATTAATTCTGAATATTTAGAATGTACATTCAACATACTCTCCACAAATTGCGTGTACACCTAAAATTAAAAAAAATTTTATATAGTTAAAAATAAATCTATGTATATGTTAGAATGTTTAGATACTTTAAATATATGTAAGTGTTATTACATATTTACATTTTCTCCTTGTAAAGGTCCAATTGCCTGTAATCCTTGTTGTGTGATGTGTCGAGTGAGTTTTTGTACAAGTGGATCTAAACCTCCTGGCAAAGGCCTTAATAATGGATAAAGAAGAGCCAGATCTCGTTTACTCTCATTTTTTATCATGATTTCTGCTTCTGCATGAAGCCAATCTGCCTGCGCATCTACCATTTTCTCCTCACAACACGTTCTCACCTACACAGAACATTGTCAATCATCTACCTTAAATTTATCGATTTCGTACGTTTCTTGTGAAGAAGTGTACCTTTGGTACAGAACTCTTGTGAAGGAATTTGTGCGCGCGTGCTTCCTCTTGATTGAGTCTCCATGTTACTTTCTCCATGTAACGTGTAACATCCAACTGTTGCAGTAACGACATTGCTTCCGCCATGTAAAATTCTCTGCTAGCTTTCAAGAAAGGTTCCTCGAAGGCTTCTTGATACAACTGATCAAAAGATAGAATTCAATGTAATAATTCTGCTTCTTGGAAGGAAAAAAATGTTTGTCTCATAAAAAAACTTTAAGCAATAAAAGCTTAATTAAAGTAATAATATATTACATTTAATTGTCCCTTCATCTTGTACTCTTCCACCCGAACAAAGCTCTGTATAACACCACAAATAACGTCGGTCGGGGCGAGCAATTTCGAATCTCTATCGGCGTCGATACATATGAGTAGAAGTGAGACGAGCTTTTCTCTAAGCGGTATTATCATTTTTTCTTCCAAATGTCCAAACCTAGCTCACCAATCTCCATCTGCTCTTGGCATTCTTCATCCCTGTTGGAACTCGCGCCATAGATGAGTTCCGCCTCCGAGAGCTTTTGTTTCTTAATGTGCTGTTGATTGAGGTACAAGTATAAACTATGTAAGTAATAAATGCCCTGCGAATACTCTGTCCATGCTCGATGATACGCCGAGAGCAAATCTGTGTTGTCATTATACGAATCGACTTCTACCAATAAATGATCTACATGATTAACCAAGAACCTTTTTGTCTCATCGTATAAACGATCTGCCAGTGGTTCGGGATATGCGACGCACAAAGAATAAACATCACTGCAATCATAGCGATACATTATTAATTTTAATATTTTATTTACATCTCTTGATAATTCAATATAACTCTCAGATTTTTAAATACCTAAATCTGTCATTCCATATAGCACGTGGAATATTTGCTAATGTTATTACTCCTTTGACAGTCTCTTGTAGTTCATGCCAGGTCTGATTGAAATCCACTCTTTTAGGTTTTAGTGACATTCTTTCCTTCAATCCACAAATCACTGGTTACTCAATCCTAATGTCGATAGCTTACTGATTCCGCAAGCTAAACTCACTGATGCTACAAACCTGCGAAACAATATTATAAGATTCATATTTCTATTGCAATTAGCACATTGAACATATTAAAGGCATTTTGAGAGAAGATTTGATTTAGATTTAAAAATAATCTCAAGATTTTTCACAAGTTAAAACAAAAGCTACCAAGAGTACATTCCAAGAATAATCCTCAGAGCATGCATAAAGACTGAGTTTACAAAGCTTTGTTCGAATGTTTTGCACATCATCGATTTAAAAATAACATAAAAGTAAAATATATACACTGCACACACATTCACATCTCATGGCCGCTCTAATTCTCTCTCCTGCCTCTGTCCCGCACTGCCTGTGCAAATTTATAACAGCAAACGCGGACTCACACTCTCTCTCTCTCTCTCTCTTCTCTCTCTCTAACTTAAGGTTTCGAGCCTTAATAAGCTCGTAAACACTCGTGAACAATTTAAAATCGCGCTCTAATAGTTCGGTCGCGAGATCCAGGCAACGGGGAGAGAGACATCGTTCTCTCGAGATTTATCCTCGAATAATATAAATACTGGGACACGACATGTCACGCGTGTGCGTCCGCCATCGAGGCTGACACAGCTGACTCGAGCTGGATAGCAGAGGCGCCCCGTCCACTAACCAAGAAATCGCACAGGAAGTCGTCGTACTCCGGGTGTCTCCAGGAGCGATCCTCGTCCGCGACGACAACACGTACCACTGGGCCGTGGAACTCGATTTTCGGGGACGGAGGCGCGAATCATTCCTGCTGCGGCTCGATGCATGACACCCGCGACAACCGCTCGGACGCATTTTCTCTCTCTCTCAGGTCGACGAGGGGAAGAGGGTCCGTCACTCGCGCGCGAACTCCTTCGAAAGAGAGAGAAAGAGCGTTTTCCAACCCCCGTAAAAAATAAGTCCGTCTTCTTGATTTATCTCTCTTCTGCAACGAGGAACTCTCTCGTGTCCACTCGCGAGAGTCTCAATAACATACTCTTTTTCTTTTCTTTTTTTTAGAATAATGTGTAAATGTGCACAACTCTCGCTAGGTGTGTATATATATATATATATATATATATATATATATATATGTATGTATGTGTATTCGACGTCGTATATGAATGTCTCTCCCGAGCAAAAGCATGAAAGTGACAGATGTGAGAAGGGTTAAGCGCGCGGAATCGGCGAATCAGATTCTGTTGCGCTCTGGCGAGTGGATTTTAAACGCACGGTCGGTGAAAAATCATGTTGTCACGTAACTATATTCGTATGTGGTTTATGCTCGTGACTCGCATTTCGACGCGTCAGATGTCTGTCCGATCCGACTGACAAGTTTGCGTGATTTTGCACTGCAAATTATTAATATTTATATCGTAGAATTGTTGTCGTTTACATCAGAGAATGGTGAGTATTTATTTTATTGAAAATATATTTTATATATTTTTTTTTATTTAGATATCTTGAAGAAGAATGTGTCCTTTAAATATCGTGCAATACCGGGAAAATAAATCAGAGATATTTGTTAGAGGTTATATATTACTGTCAATTGGGTAGAGATGACATTGCATGTTTTTCTGATAAATGTGAAAGAATATTAAAAATAATTGCAGTGTGTATGTTAATAATAATACACTTAAAATTATATCGTATTCCGTTTTTTACAGAGTATTCTCGCGTACAACGGCGGTGCCGTGATAGCCATGAAGGGCAAGAATTGCGTTGCCATAGCGGCTGATCGCAGATTCGGTATACAAGCGCAAACGATAATGTGCGATTTTCAAAAGATTTACGAGATGGAACCTCATCTGTACATCAGTCTGCCAGGACTCGCCACTGATACCCAGACTGTCATGGAGAGGCTACGCTTTCGCTTGAATCTGTACGAGTTGAAGGAAAATAGAAAGATTCACCCTAAAACATTCACTGCAATGGTCTCAAATCTTTTGTACGAGAGAAGATTTGGACCATACTTTGTAGAACCCATAATTGCTGGATTAGATCCCGCTACATTTGAACCGTTTATTTGCAATATGGATCTGATAGGATCCAGAAACATAGCGGAAGATTTTGTAGTAGGTGGAACATGTACGGAGCAATTGTACGGCATGTGTGAATCGCTTTACGAACCGGATTTAGAGCCTGATGATTTATTTGAAACTGTCAGCCAAGCTTTAGTCAATGCATTTGATCGAGACGCGATATCTGGATGGGGTGCTGTTGTTTATATTATGTAAGTGTTGCTATAATGGTTATATCAAGTGAATTTTTGATAAGTATTTATGTTAATTCATATACTCTTTTCAGAGAGAAAGATAAAGTTACAAAGAGGACTATCAAAACGAGAATGGATTAAACACAATCTTCTTTTACATCAGTATGCATAACAAAAGTTTCACAATTACTATTGTAATAAATCTAAGAAATGGAGAAACAAATCTTACATAATTTTCTAATTAAATCCCTAATATCTCTTTACAAATATCTGTTGATTGTAAGAAAAAAATTTGTATTTCCATCTATATTACCCTGTGTATATGTTGTATTATTATAAATTTTTTTCTTAGGTTTTTTTAATATTTTTATTCTTTAGTTTTTTTATATGCTATTTGATTAACTTATGTGTATACATAAAGTTAACAAATTTATAAATAAATTTATTATATATACATAAAATATATATTTCTGAAAAAAGATTATATGAAAGAAAAATTTTTTTAAATTTTTTATGAGATAAAGAATCTAAAAGTATTTTTACACACAAAAAGATAGTGCAAAAGAAATCAAAATCTCAAGTGCAAAGCATGTCGCCATCTAATGTTAAAGATTGAGACTAAACTAAAATGGGTTATGAACGTAAACGTGTGTTGTGAAACTATTTAATATGATGATAGCAAATTAATATTATCACTAATAAACTTATTGACAATGTCGATCAATACATTATGCGCTGCATTTCGCAAAATTGCAGTGGGCAGAATAAGTACGTATATCTGACAACTAAATATTATAAAGTATATAATCATAACTTAACCTTAATCAACCATAATCTAACATACTAAATGTATGTATATATGTGTGTATGATTTTTTATAAATATAAGCAAAATTATATATGCATTATTTATAATTTATAGTATTACATTTTATCTATATATATAATTTTATACATTTCTATATACAATTCTATATATAATCTATATTTATCTATAATTATATATATATATATATATATATATAATTATATTTCAGGTACTGTTGCTGCTACAAGATATTCAACACATCAATTAAATTGTGATGTAATTTTTCGTTTAACATCTAATAATCATGGTATACCAGATAGTACTAAGTCCGATGGTATCAAATTTATACCAGGAACGCTTAACATCGATTTTGGGATACGTACAAATAGAAATTTAATAAGAAATATTATTGAAATGCCTGTTGCAAAGATTCCTCCATTGCAAGAGCCTGTAAAGCGCTTACCCATTCAGTATGATGTACCTACATTGGAAAAATCTATAGACCTACCCACAAGTGGACAAATTTTTGAGAAACAAGCGGTACGTTTAATTGTAATCAGGCGTAAGAAGATGAAGAAACATAAGCGAAGGAAACTGCGTAAGAAGATGAAGTTTGTATGGGCAAAGTTAAGGCATAAACGAAACGTAAAGAGGGAAAAGCTTTTCCAGGCAGGGTTAATTGATAAAATTAAACAAGCACAAGCATTTGACGCTAAAGAATATGTTAAGGAGAGACTCAATATTTTAAACAAGGAAAAAATACCGAGGACTTACAGAGGCGAGATTATACCTACCCAGATGATTAAACAATTTAGAGATGAGAAAAAGGCGAGAAAAGAAGCATTGCGTAATAAACCTCGTTTAACATTATAATCTATGTATAAAATCGTGTAACAATAAATCTTTTATGTTAATTAATTTTTTGTCTTTGAAATTTCTACTTAGATTTTTATATAAAACGAATCAAAATTTGAAAAGGAATAATTGAGAAAAATAAGTAAATGAGCAATAAATTCACCCTTTATTTTGTTATAAAAGATAAATCGCTTGTATAGTTCATTCATTCATCTAGAGCCTAACAACAATTGCATTAAAATATCTTATAGATATACATATAATAAATGATACTTATATTTGCATTCATTGATTAATATTAATATCGATTCTAAATTGTATACAATAATGGATTAATTTGTGCTTACAATAAATATAGGCTTAAAAATTTTCGAGTTCCATAAAATAATGACTGTTGTTGCATATATATGACATGATCATGAATTAAAAAAAAATGGCTTCTGATTTCTATAATTTTGTTATAAAAATCTATGTCCACTTTATTATACATAATTTAATATATGATATAATAAATAGCACAATTTTTTTATTTGTGTTTTATTAAGGCATATTGTATGTATATATATATGATCAAGATAAATTTTGTAGATATTTAAATTTATATATTTTTTGCTGATTTGTTTTAATAATATTTTACTATGTCTGTGTAATTAATGTTACAAGAATGTAATATTTATTATTAGTTATATATAATTAATCACTTTCATGCTTTGTGAACCAAATATGTATACTCTACAAAAATATATTTTTTCTCTGGTAACTTGTATAGAGGTAATCGTTTTAAACAATAAAATACATTACATTTGTGTCTTATCATTATTAATTGTTTAAAGACATTTTATCTTATTTTTTAAAGTAAATTATTTGTGTCACAAAGCAAACGTCAGAATCTTTTGAGTACTTTGCCCATTTCATATATGGTTTTTAATAAAATGAGTAATATCTTTTGTTAAATTCCACCTTATTTTTTCGGCGGATCGATTGCAATTATACTTAATTGATACATGCAAATGCGTTCCTCTTTTTCTAACTAAAATAGTCATTTAAGTAGACGGATGCTAAAAGTTATACAATTAAAATGGTCCTTTTTTCACGGTAATATCTGGCCCTTCTTAATTTCTAAGACTTTTGGTTTGTTATTTATTCTTCCTGTCTTCAGAGTATCGCCTCTACCAGAGAAATAATCCTCGATCTCTTGTAATGTTCTACCTTTAGTTTCCGGAAGACATATATAGAAGTATATAGTGCCGAATAAGGATATACAACCGTAAAGAATGAACGTACCATGACGAGTTAGCGAGTTGGCGAGAAACGGATAAGTTTTGACCACCATAAAGACAAACGTATGCGCGCACATGGTGGTCAATCCGCCAATAATACCGCGTACCTGGACGGGATAAACTTCGCCGATCATCACCCATGGAATCACCAGGAAACCTAGAGTGCACGTGATGGTGTACGTGAATATGCAAAGAACCGGGATCCAAGTGGCGACAAGTGTAAGATCATTCTCGACGCTGTAATTTTTATACCACATGTATCCGCCTAATCCTAGCATGGACAAGCCGCAACCGATGGAAGACACCATCGTGAGTGGTCTCCTGCCGCATCTTCTACACAAGACACAAGCTACGATCGTGGAGCTGAGTCTGACTATTCCCAATATGAACGCGGCTAAATATTTATTCAGGCTCGCCCCCGAGTCCTTAAAGATCTCAACTGCGTAGAAAGTTATAACATTGGTACCCGACCACTGATATATCAAAAAATACAGAAACAATAGAGTGAACGGTTTCAGCGCGTTGGGTTTCAACAAGGCGCACACGATTTCTCGGAATCCGGTGAGTCGTTTAATGTTATTCTTATTGGAGAACTCTACCAGAGTTTTCATCTCCCGGGTCACGTTGTAAGTACTGCCGCGAAACTTTTGCAACGCCTTTTCCGCTTGGTCCGGCCTGTTGCGCGATATGAGATAGGACGGGGTCTCTGGGAAGAAGAACATCAGTAGCAACGCGGTGAACGGCAAAAGAGCGCTGATGGCAGCGCAGACGTTCCACGTTACTATACTTCCCAGGGCGTACTCTATGAGCACCCCGGTGCTGACCCCAACGCTTGCGAGAGCGATCAGCATCCCACGAAGATGCGGCTGCGTCACCTCGCTGGTGTAGACGCGTGCTGGCGCGCCTACCATACCCGATCCTAGACCAACGAAGAAACGACCGGCGTATATCATTTGTATGTCGGTCGCGAATGCTATCAACAGCCATCCGAGTAGAGCTGGGATCTCCGTGATGATGAGCGAACGTTTTCGGCCGAACATATCCATCATGTAGCCGGATACCAAGCAGCCGATCGGCGTGCCGATGGAGGACATGCTAGCTGCAAAGAAAGAAAAAAAATAAATAAGGATTGCGAGAGAATTATGATTTTTTTATAATTATAAATTATGATGAAAAATTATAGATTTTTCCATCACAGAGAGAATTTCTCTTATAGAATTTATCTTGAAAATCATGGTAATCGTGAGATAATATAGTATTGGAAAAATTTTGTAATTTCTCCGATAAACATTTATTAAAATAAAAAATATTAATATCTACATAATAAGATATAAAATATATTTAATTAAATTTACTGAAATAAAGTATATAGTAAAATTTTAATATAATTTTAAAATATATTAAAAACTTATGATTCTTTCTCTAGTAGCATATCCGAACGACATTTTGAGGATTTCCAGAGGACATTCGAACATCCTCAATGTTCTCTAAACGTCTTCGAGATATATGTGTGCTGTTAGAGTTAAGTGTTTTAAATAGAACAGATTTTTAAAAAAGTAATAAACATTTTTTATATATTTTAAAATGCAGTATGCTAATTATCACCAAACATGATAAAATTTGCATTGAATTTTGGGGTAAAATAAAAAGAAAAATCTCTCCGTGTATAGAAAAATATGAGACATAAAAACAGTTTCGAAAGAATTTTATTTATAATTGCTTTGTCATAGATTCGCTATCTCATACGTACCGATCCACGATTCCTCCGTCGATCCCTCTTTGATGGGAATGATGCTGTCCGGCTCCTGGAGTTGCGGTAGAGCGATGGCAGAGAAACCGAACGCCATCCCCGTGTTGATGGTGCCGAGTTGGGCCACCACTGCAGCCAGGACTTGCCTGACAGCGCTACCTCGAGGTGTTCGATCGTTCTCAGGGTCATTGTTCAGGTTCAGATCGGTCCTCTCGTTATCGAGCAACGTGGACGGTTGGATCTTCGGCAGGAGCGTCGAGTCTACCAACGAGGTCTTCTCCGGGTCCTGCGCGCCGCAATTTTTTCTGAAATAAAGCGGACGATTAGCGAGTGTAATGTTATAATTGCTATTGTATTTATTTGTGACGGTCGAAACACGTGGAGGATGTGAGCAGAAAGTTAAGTTAACAGCAAGATTTTTGCATTTGAAATATTTGCTATCGCGCACACTCTGCATCTCTAATGAGACAAACTAGAATTTTCAAAGATAGCGTCTGCGCGTTATATTATGATAACAATATCGAAAATGTTTGATTATATATATATGGAGTGACAGGGTCAATGACGCGTTAAGTTTAAAAAAAAATAATCTATAAGGAGAAAAAAAAGATGATCAAGAGAAAGAAATTCTATAATTATTATTATTATGTAAAAGCAAGACTCAATTATTAAATGCCATATTATTAAATGTCAAATGAAAAATATATGATGATAACACAATGACGCGTCAGGCACGCGACTGTGTGAGTCATACATTTATAATATATGTGTGAATTATTTATGCGCATATACAAACCGATAAAAGTCGGTTAATTAATGAACATGAGATTTTTGTCGTTTTTTATTATGATCATTTCGTTGAGATTATAGCAAATAAAATAAGAGAAAAATAATGCAAATTTGCAATTGACTTTTTTCTTCAAGAGAGATGCATCGCTCGCGAAATTGAGAGATATAAACAAAGTTGGTCGTTATTTATCTGGACGTCGTGTAAAGATAACAATTATTTTTTCTTCATCGCAGATAACGCGAAAAATTTTCCGCATTAAACAACACCAGATAAAACTCAAATCATTTATTCGTCAATAATAACAATTGCAGCTTAATAAGCTTGTAGCAGTCCAACACGAATTTTTAGCTTAGATTTAACATTACTAAAATTAAAATTTATTTATAATGTATAAATGTTCGATAACTAATTAGATTATTGCATTCGAGGAAAAATATAATAGGCATTTCGAAAAAAGGAGAAATAAAAAAATTCTAATAAGAGAAAAAAACAGAAAGGGAGAAAGAAATGAGGATATAAATTGATGAGGATGAATAATGAATGTGATATTTGGCAAAACAAAAAAACTGGTATCGTGGATGAATCAAACATATGCAAAATATACATATATTCATGAAATATCGTATATGTATTATTTAAGACACTCGGTATATAATCGCACAATGACTTTATTATTATTATAGAAGATAGCATTTGCTTAACGAGAATTACGAAACGAAACCTTCAGCAAAAGAACGATCGATTAGGTGTTTCCCAAAGGTTGCGAAGTTATGGGATGACATAAAATCGCCGAGTATCATGACCTTTAATAATAAAGGAGAAAAAATATAATATAAAAATAAACGATTCGGCGCCTACACACTTGTATTAATTTGCGACGAAATAAAGATACCTGTTATTTTTCGTAGAATTTCGTATTTCGCTAATATGCGAACGCAATTTTCGAGCGGAAAAATAATATGTTAAGAAAAAAGAAGCTTATTATTATAGAAAGTCGCAATCGCTTTTATGCAAATTGACACGAGTGTATGAAGGCCTTATGTAAATTCGCGATAATAAAGATATATGTCTTCTTTTTTTCGCGCGCTTTCGTTTACCTTTTCATCGAGAAACCGCGAGCAACACATTTTCTTCACGTGTCGAGCTTGTTACACATCGAAGAAGTGATTTACCGTATTACAGCAATTAATTACAAATGTAATTTACGTCTACCGCAATTATAGAAAAACATTAAGCGGTCAGCGAACCATACGTCATATTGCACAATCGTCCTTCAGACTTTTCCCTCGATACTTTTTATATTCGTAACTTGCATCGATTTCGTGAAGATTGACTGATGACATTAAGTTGTCATTTGTTAATATAAACGTTAGCAAACATGGCGAATTAATTAATAACATTTGCACACATTTACATATTAACCATACTTTTTTATTATTTATATCGCGCGCGAATTAATCAATCAAACTAAAAACAATCATAATACGATATCGATCGAGTCAGGCTAAATAAAAAAGCTATACGTATTGATCGATAGTCAGAGTGTTTATATTAGATTCAGCACGTGTTTCGAACTTTCGCAACCTTGAATCCAATTGAAAGTGAAATTTACATGCGTATGCGAGTGTTGTTTTCGTAGAGACCTGCGACCTCCAGTCGTTCGATCATACCATATGTTCACGACGTGCATTCACAACATATTCCCTAATTCCTGTAGTCGTGTGCATTATTGGAATTCCAACGATCAAAATAATCGTGACAGCTTCGGCTCTCTAAAGCTGCGTTCTTAATAAAGCAACAACGAGCAACTTTTTGTTGCTGTCTCATGTTTCTTAAAAAAGTTGTTAGTTGTTGCCGAAAGTTTCTTAAACTTCCTCCTCACTAGAGCAACAACGAGCAACTTCCTGTTGATGTTCCATGTTTCTTTAAAAAGTTGCTAATTGTTGCCGAAAATTTCTTAAGCTGCATCCTTACTGGAGCAACAACGAGCAACTTTTTGTTGCTATTCCATGTTTCTTACAAAAGTTGCTAATTGTTGCTTTAGTGAGGACGCAGCTTAAGAAACTTTCGGCAACAACGAGCAACTTTTTGTTGCTGTCTCATGTTTCTGAAAAAAGTTGTTAGTTGTTGCCGAAAGTTTCTTAAGCTGCCTTCTCACTAGAGCAACAACGAGCAACTTCCTGTTGATGTTCCATGTTTCTTAAAAAAGTTGCTAATTGTTGCCGAAAATTTCTTAAGCTGCATCCTTACTGGAACAACAACGAGCAACTTTTTGTTGCTATTCCATGTTTCTTAAAAAAGTTGCTAGTTGTTGCTTTAGTGAGGACGCAGCTTGACAAAGAGAGAAAGAAGTGAATATTCTTACAATTCACATTTATATCCAAACTTCTTTTCTGCCTTATAACAAAGCTGACGACGATCTTTTCGCGAAACTTTCTGGCAATGTATCATAACTGTCGAGTCTTCCGAGTCGGTCAGCCAAATTGCGGAAGGAGAAGTTTCATTTTTTTAAATACCCCGCCAGAGTGACGCCTGTCAACAATGAGTCGCCACCGTTTGTTCTTGACAGACAAAGCGGTTCCGAGATTATATTCACGTCGCGCGTGGCTTGAGAAACGTGTGTAGCGAGCTATATTTTTCCTTACACCTTGACTTTGCCCACATCGCAAGGCTGTATGAACGCAGCCGGAGGGCACTTTAAGGGGCTCATCGCGCGTACAGAATTAGAACGCGCGATTTCGCAAGGAGGATTTTCCATCGGACGCTATTAAAGCCCGCGCAATCACCTTCTCGTCACGTTGACGGAATTTTCCGCGAAATCTTAAAACACATTTATTTATTCGCACCGGATGCGAACGGAGCCGACACCCGAAGATAACCTTCACCCCTATATCCGCCAGAAACTGAGAAAGGGCGAATAAACTTCAATACTCGTCCCTGAGATTAATTTAGTCGATTCTCTTTTTAGCGAATATATGTTGAGGCGTCGATAATTTTTAAGCTGTAAATTTTTAAGAAGAAGACATTGTTCGCGAATTATAATTTAAACTTTAGAGAGCTGAATAGATGATAGAGCTGCATTTTATATTTAATTTTAGGTATAATTTAATTTAAACAAATATGGCAAATTGCAGTAAAAATCTTTTCTCCATTTTTAAAAAGAAATATTGATTCTAAATTGCTTGAAGAATCTATCGTGAAAAAAATATTCCACGGTTTTAAGATACTCTATGTAAAATATTTAATATAAATGCTACGGAAATATTATATGAATCATGGCTTTGTGGTTCTGCTCCAAGCGTAATCGAGGAAATGTGATTACTGTCTATCATACCACGTACAGATATCAATTGTGTGAGAGTAGTTCCAGAGAGCTTTTTTTTAAATCTCTTGTGAAGTGACATGCATCAACATTAATCTTTCGGTTGAAACATGACATTAACAATAACAATTCATGTTAAGAAATGCACGTCAAATTTTATCGCGCTAGAAAAATTAATAAATATTGAAATAAAATAAGAAAGCAGCGTATTTTTTCACATCTCTATTTTTAAAAATAAAAATTGATTAAAAAATTAATAACTTATTAATTATATATTAAATTAATTGTATGTTAAATTATATATATTTTAGGATTTAGAAAGAATAAAAAGAAAAACGTTGAACCGGATACAAAAATAGATCAGAATGAGATTTGACTAGCTTCTCGTTCCCCGTTCCGATCTACAATTCCATACTAATCTACAAATTTGAACATAAATAGAATCTAATAATTTACGAGATGTCAAGTGAGTTAGCGGATTCTGGCAACGGTACGACGGAATTGCACGCGATATTTTTGTAACACGAAGATTCAAGAGAGTGCAACAGAATCACATATACACATACATATAAGATGCACAATGCATTTCTCGCAGATATCATGCCTAATCGAACAAATGGACGCGTCCATGATATTAATAGTCTAATTACATCATGTCGTTTCAACGAAGGTAAATACGAACAGCGAAGCCGACTGTCTCGTCTCGGAAAGCAACAGTATACAACATACTAATGCGTTGCGAAATATTTGCACGTTGCATTAAGATGCAGCAATGATCAATCGGTCAGTCTCGCTCTGATCGTTAGCCTATATCGTCTATATAATCGCGATGCGAAAAGAATTTCCTCTTAGAATTTACCTCGAAAATCATGGTAATTGTGGAACAATATAATATTAGAAGAATTTTATAGAAGAGTTTCTCCGATTAATATTTATCACAATAAAAAATATTAATAATATACATAGTAAAATTAATCGAATATATTTTATATTTTACGTAGTAGATATTAATATTTTTTATTGTGGTAAAAATATTAATCACAAAATTGTCTTTGTGTAGGTTTTATCAACAATTAACATCGTCAAGTTTTAAATGTCATAGTTAATTTATAATTTTAATTATAAAAAAAATGTATATGTTTTTTATAAAAATTTGGTACCTCCCAAATTGTCAAATATTAAATAATTATCTAATGATTTTATTATTAATTTCTTATATTTTATAAAAAATAATTATTATACACAGAGAGAATTTTCTTTTAAAATTTATCCTGAAAATCATGGTAATCGTGGGACAAAATGATATTGGAAGAATTTTATGAGTTTCTCCGATTAAATATTTATCACAATAAAAAATATTAATATGTACATAATAAAATTAATCGAACATATTTTATATCTTATGTGGTAGATATCAACATTGTTTATTGTGATAAATATTAATCAGAAAAACTGTTATAAAATTCGACAAGAGATATATTCTAAAATCATCTAAGTTCGTAACTCTGTGTTAGCTCGAAGTTCAATGTTGCTCCGTAGTACAGTGATTACATCATCGTTTGGAGATAATTATGTAGCAAAAAGTTCCTCGGGCCACTTAACGCGTATACAAGAAGGTAGTGGAATCTACGATCTCGTTCAGTCAATGATATTTTCTCTTTTTCCACCGATTATTGTTCTAGGCATTTGGAAAATATACTAACTCCTTGCCCAGAACGCCTTTGTAACCGGTAGGGATATTAATAACAACCGTATCTCTTCATTCTCATATATAGGAGACACCGAGTAGTCACAGTCACGCATCTGCGTGTCATGAAATTTATTATTAGCGTCTAAATATCGTATCATTAGTAATTTACGGTCACGAAGGAGAAAAATACAAGTGTCGTTCTTCACGAGAGTTCGCGTTATCGTCGTTTAAATGTGTGATACGAAGTGAAAAGCGTCATTGTCCGTCGTCATCGTTCGTCAGAAGCTACGTTTTTCCGCTTCATTTCCCGTATTTATCTCGATTCACGAATTTTCTCGCAAGGCCATCATCGAATAGACTTTGCAACTTTTATTGCGAGCTGCGCCTCCTCTTCTTGCAATTACATTTAAAAATATCTCGTATCGCGCTCACATCTCCGATGATTGCGATTGCGTATTGATAATTTATTGCAATTATATCAATTTATTGATGCTATTTATTCGTGTAAGAATAACAGAAATTTATTAAACGTGTTTTTTGAATAATATAATTATACATTTATGAAGCAACCCCTTATATAAATATGAATAAATTATCAATTCGATAGAAAATTAAATCCAATTATGTAATATAATTAATTGCGTATTCTGAAGCCATAATAGCTAATATATAGACAAAACATACATATAGATGAAATGATTATCAAATAAAAAACATTCTTGAAATACGTGACGCTGAAATGAAATCTTTCATAATTTCCAGTCTGCAATAATGCACTTACGTAGGTGGTATCATTAAAAGTCAATTAACGTGTTTATAACAGCTCGATGACGACGATGAGTACCGTAATTACGGTATCGGTAATACATATCGCAATGAACAGATGCATCAAAATTGTCTCGCACATCATTGGTATTTGATATATATAACATGAATAGAAATTAATTGCGTCAGTATACATGTAATTATGCAGGCATGTCATCAGTGTTTTATCAGCTATTAATAATATTATCTGCTGCAGTTCGCGGCTGATATATCTGTCAAAAAAGAAAAGAGAGAAAAGAAAAAGGACTTTCTCCCTGTTTCGCTGATAAAATTGCTAAATATATATGTAATCTCTTCTCGGCGGGGCTTCATCGCACACGTCATAAAATGCGCCCGACGACGTGACAAGGGCAACGACAAGATGACACAACTTTTTTTTTATATTCGATCATAGTCCGCGGGTGCCATGTTCTAGACACCGGAGAGCATAAAACAAAACCACGATAATACTGAACACTCATATTAAATAGTTTGAAAACATGAAATTCAGATTTGCATTTAAAGTCGAATTAAAGCAATTATTGTTTTATTTGAAAGCACATCTTTCGTTAAAAAAAAATTATCTCACTTTTGAACCGACGAAATTTATTTTGTTTCTTTATAAACATATTTTTTTATCAAATTAACTCCTTTCACCGGGATAACTTTCTCTTGAAATTTTCTCTGAAAATTATAGTAATTGTGGAAGAATTTGAAGAATTTGATAAAGAGTTTCTCTGATTTTTATCACAATCAAACATATTTTTTAACAGTAAACTTTACTATGTACATATATTGAAAAAATAAATTTATCCAATTCGAATAAATATTTATTTCAATACTATCTTATAAATAATTTATTTAAAACTTATAATATTGATTTGAATAATTTGATGCAAAAAAATATTTGATATGAGAAAATCTTTTTCAAAACTGATAAATATTTATTTGTTTCAAATAAATAATTCAATAAGGTAGTATTGAAATAAATATTTATTAATTTAATAATTTTTTTTAATGTAATAAAATTAAACATATTTTACATTTTATTATGACAGATATTAATATTTTTATGATAAAAATCAGAAAAATTCTTATCAAATTCATTCAATATCATACATTGTCCAATACGATTACTATGATTTTCAGGGTATAAATTCTAAGAGAAAAAAAATTCTCTCTGTATTAATTAATAAATTTTCAGCGGCTACATACGTATATATAAATTCAAATCTACCTCGATTCATTCATAATTAATATTCGTGCAACTTTAAGTCTTATCGCGATCTCCGAGAAATCTTTCGAAGATTAATCACGCATATCCTTGATAAGGAAGAGGGAGATGCGATTTCGGAGCAAGGTGAAAACTATAAAATTTTGCTATCGCGCGTAATATCCCAAGATTTGACTGCTGTAAACAAGAGTGCTTGATATAGAATCACTTGTTGATCGCGCGCATATATTCGTTGGCGTTGTCAACCCTCGACTTTGCCCAGTATTCTCTGTTCAAAGTCGCATTTAACCACGTGGGCCGCAGGTGCAACAATTCTATCCAAATATAGTAAGTGCATATATATATAATTAATATAAAATTATATGTAAAAATATTATTATACTTTTCTTTCAAGGAAAATAATTATATTAATTGCTTTCCAAATTGAAGTAGAAATTTCATGTAAAATTGTGAATTTTTCATTCAACAATTGTAATATATAGTGGTAAACACAACAATTAAATTTATATAATATAGGGTATAATTATCACATATTTTCAAACGATGTCGCGAAAATACGCAGTGTTGTCTGAATTTCTACTCTGAATATATTCACGACTTCCGTGTGTTTACCAAACGCTACGTGCAATTACATTGTAGAGAGAAAGAGATATATACATATATATAAATATATAGAGAGAATTAACTAGTAAAATAAACAGTTTCTTTTTAGCTATGTCATGCTTTATATTTCTTTTATATATTTAAAAAATAAAATGCATATAAGGAACACCGAAAAATATTGGCAAGAGATGTGTGGAGAAAGCACAATTGAACCCGATAAAAAATTTGTTATATATTACAATTTTAACATTATGTAGAAATATGTAAAATTATACATATAATCGCAAAATTATATATGTAATATGTCGATACATAATTAGTATATATAAATATATATGTTTCATATATAATTTGACATGATTATATATAAACCCTTATAATTTATATAATTATGTGTAAAAATGGACATACTTCACATATAATTTTACGATTATACGCGTATATAATATTATACAATTATTTATATATAATTATATATAAAAAATTATTTTCTAAGAAAAAAGTGACAGAAACATTGATATGTGTTTACTCACTCTGCCATGACGAATGTCGTGATGAAGATTAGTCTTCTTTTCAATCAGGCGTACACGATATACCGGCGTATCGTGTATAAAACGTACAAGTATATATCACAATTCGCTGATCACAATAAGGTATCACCATAAGGTCACCGGCTCATCGCCGGTTTCTCTCCTCGCCTCTTCTCGCGCCCTCGCGGCTTTTAATTCTCCAGACTTGATCGAAGGGTTGTAATCTCTCGCGATTCTTTTTATATTCGAGGATCTTCTAAAATCCTCGAGTACTTTACTCTCAGAGAGCACTCGCCGGGAGACGTCCAATTGTGCGTCCGATTTCGTAAAAGCCTACGAAAGTCTTTCTCCATGGACGATACATCTGCGCGGGTCCCGTCGCTTTTTCCCGTTTTTATTCCCTCGTACAATTCGATGATTCGTACTCTCCTCGGACAGGGAGGCTGTCTCTTCTTTTTGTTTCCCCTCGCGGTGAATATTGCCGCGTGTTTAGGAGCGAGGTCGAACAGCTGACGTGATCTGTCACTTGCGTTACGGCTCGCACGAAGCGACTGACGGCTACAGGTTACTCGAAAGCTTTATATGCGACGCGCTACGCCTCGTGGGAGAAAGAAAAAGAGAGAGAAAGAGCTGCGACATCAAAGCGCATGCGGGCGGATAAGAACAACGCGCGAATTTCGTTGAGCGGAAGAAGGTTGAGACCAGAGGGACGTGGAAAAAAATCCGGAAACTCCCACCCTCTAACAGCACACTGCAAAAACAATTTGTTGACTTGACTAAACCTTTCAACTAAAAATTTAAATATTTTTATATGAACGGTTTAGTCAAGTTGACACATTTTTCAGTGCACAACATATCCGAAAAACATTCAGAGAATATCCTGAGGGTATTTGAATATCCCCTGCATGTCCTCTGAACGTCCTTCGAATATGTGTGCTATTAAAGCAGCGATGAACTATATTTAATCAATCAAACACGAAAATTGAACCGATATCGCTTCTCAATAAACTTTCCTCCTTAATTATTATCGCATATTTGAAATTATTATTTTTTTTTTTTTTTTCATTATATAGTGATATCGATATCTCTATATACAGAATGAATAATAGAACACAATAATAGTATCATAAATTATACAAAACAAAAGATTACATATATCGAGAAAAGTTTACATAAAGTTTTCAACTAATATTTAATCAAATAAATTGAAATGTTATAAATATATCGCGGATTTTCTTTTCTTCCACAGATGATCTCCTAATCGTAAAAATATTCTGCATCGAGCGTGTGATAACGTAACGGTAATCTATTGATAACGAGAGATAAAATTTATCGAATTAACACAACAAATGTTAGAAATGGTACGCTTGGTCGTAAAGATCATTGTATCCGTTTTCTTTAAAGATTTTGACATTCATGTGACTAATCAAATGGGATATAATCTATCTCGAGTATCGATAACAGTCTCGGTCACGAACACTTGATCATCTCCTTTATCTAAGAAAAATAGTGCCGGTGGCGTGTAATTATCACGATTGTTGTTCGTGATACACTCTTCCACATTTACGTAAAACGAGATAAACTTTCTTCGAAGGAAATCTCGCAAATTAAAGTGTTGACAATTCGTTGCTCGCCGAATTACTGAGAAAAAAATATCTTCCGCGCTCAGGAAACATATATTTGCGGAATTATGATATTTGCGAGATCTATTATGCACCGTCGTGTATGCATTATCAGTGGAGAATCTTACGGAATATTCATAAAGCAAATGAAAAAAAAAAAAAAAAAAAAAAAACAGGAAGGATAAAAAGCTTATTGAGAATGTGCATGCGCCGAGTTTGTGTTCTGTTAAAGTAAATACGCAGATGAAAATTTATATTTTACAACCGGTCTCTCCTTTCTCTCTCTCTATAAAAATGTATAAATCTGAACGTGATAAAAAGCAATGACGAGTAAGCATTTATAAATATGCACGATAAGGTCGAACGAAAGATAATTATAACGATTTGCGACGGAATATTGGAATGATTTAATATTTATGTAGCGCTCAGTCTTTTTTCTATTTTTACAGCATCATATGTGATAGCAAGCGAGATGGTTTTATTATTTCCAAGTTTAATTGGAAAAACTAATAAAAGAAGAGATTAATTGTGTTAGAAACACAGAAAAAAAGAAGTATCAAATCAAAATGTATATACTTGTTTAGATACAATTTGCTTAAATGAAAACATTTTACATAATTCAACCAAGAAAAATATTAATCTTATTATTAAACAATAATTTTTTTTAATGAAAAAAATGTATTGATAGAAAATAACTCTTCTCTCTTTTTTCATATAAAATAACATGTTATTATATTCTTATATTCTTCAAATGACAATATATAAAATATTGCAATATAAGAAATACACAGAGAGAATTTTCTCTTAGAATTTACCCTGAAAATCATAATAATCGTGGGATAATATAATATTGAAAGAATTTTATAAAAGTTTCTCTGATTAATATTTACCACAATAAAAATATTAATATCTACCATAAAATATAAAATATGTCCAATGTTCAATTAATTTAAAAAATGTATAATTAATATTATATAATAAAAATAATTAAACATTATTTTATTACCTTAACAAAAAAGTAAGTTTACTATATGTAGTTAATAAAATGTTTTATTATGGTAAATATTAATCAAAGAAAGTCTTATAAAATTCCTCCATGATTTTCAGGGTAAATTCTCAGATAAAATTCTCTCCGCATAATATTTCTAATATTTAAAATTTAGCAACTTCTTATAAGATTATTTATATTGTTGCGTATATCCGAGTACACAAGCGTTGACTTGACACTTCTTTCTTTTTTGCGAAGATTGACGGAATTATTTTGATTACAGACGTGTTAAAATGTTAAATAATTAAATTGAATTTTTCATGTATATAATTTATCAAGAGAGATATGAGTATCTTTAATATATACATATATGCGCTATTGTACCGTCGAAGAATCGAGCATGAAGATTAAATGAGCATTTAAAAATGGACTGGTTCACTTTCCGGTTACGTTTGCCTGATTACGCCAGCACTATCAGTCAATATACGAGGTGTGATCAAATGGTTCGTGCAATTTTTATTTGAAAAAATATGTCTTTATTCGTCTACATTAATGTCCCTTTCAAAGTAAGCCCCAGATAAAACACATTTATGCTGTTTTTTTCCAGTCTTTAAAATATTTATAAAATTCTTTATTCTTTATTTTTTCTTTATTCTTGAGAAGAGAAAAAAGTCACACTGTTGAAAATATTCAAAAATTACTGAGCAAACTGAAGACTAATATACTTGAGAAAATTCCACAAATATTTTGAAGACTGGAAAAATGTTTACCTGACGGGGCTTACTTGGAGAAGGACAACATTAACATAGATGAACAAAGACATACTTTTTGAAATAAACGAAAATTGCACGAACTTTTTGATCACGCTTCGTATATCGATGCATCCGATAGTTACCATCCATCGTAAATTCGAGCATGACGAATCGTGAGTTCACGGTAAATGTAAATCTGACGCGGACACAAACGAGATAACCTCGGCCTGGGAATACTTGGTCACGCGGATCTACGCAAACATCGTAATCGTCGTGTATGTATGTATGACGTGTATCACGATTAGGCGAACGTCATATGCGATTCTTTTAATAAAATTGCAGATATGCAGAAACGTATCGTGTTTTATGTATATTATATGTAGTATTAATATACTTGATGATTTAATGTGTTTAAACTAGAAAATATCGAGATTTTTATGTCTCTAATTGTAAAAATAAACGAAATAAATCGCTCGTTTTTAAATGGCTGATTTTGTTCATTGCTACTCTGGATGCATGATATCTCACAATAACTCTCGATTATAAGCAACAATTTTTAATTGGGTTGAAAACACCCAAATCAAATTCTTCAAATTCTTCATCAAACGGAACTAAAATCTTATGAACGCTTATTTGATTTCATAGAAGCAAAAAAAAAAAACGAAATTCACTATTCAGTTCTATGGATTTCGAAAAAGTTCATTCTTGACCAAAGTGAAAGTTATAAGTTTCAAAGTGAAAGTTATATGTTTCAAAGTGAAAGATATGTGTTAGTTTTTGTTCAGTTTTATTCAGTTTTAGGGTCTATTTAAAAGTTGTCTTTGATGCAGAAAAAATATATGGGACAATTTCATGGAAAAATCAAATTATATTATTCGAAGAAAAATATTCCGAATCGTGTAAGAATTTATGATTATAAGGAGAAAACTATGTAACGCTTTAACAAAAAAAAATGACTTTTTTTCGAACACTGGAACGAAGTCGTTTCTTTGTAACTTTTGAAGAAAGAAACTGGTGCCGATGTTTTTTTTGTGTTAATCGGAATAAACTATGTAACGCTTTAACAAAAAAAAATGACTTTTTTTCGAACACTGGAATGAAGTCGTTTCTTTGCAGCTTTTGAAGAAAGAAACTGGTGCCGATGTTTTTTTGTGTTGATCGGAATAAACTATTGTAATATGTACATACATACAAAGATTTACACAAAATGAAAGCTATAAGAACCATTCACAGAGAGCAATAAATAAAATATAAAGAAATAAAAAATTTGAAAAATAAAAGAACTAACACAGAGAATAATAAGTTGTAAAAGTTTGGAATGGCATGCACCATATTAGAGTTAAACACGTGCATTCAGAATACCTAGAGTCATAAAATGTTATAGTCACTTCGACGCGGATTTGTCGATCGTAAGATTCTGCAAAACGCATCGTACATCGATTGAAAGCCCACGTTATCTTATCCGAATCATAAAATATCAATAAGTACATCGCGTTTTTATTTCGAACGACGACGATATCAGTGAACGGCGATAAACAGCGACAACAAGAAGTGGGTAAGAATCTACGACATTAAGAATTACTCACTTGGGAGACGGTGGTGGCGACGATACGTCTGGCTGATCGTTGCTGCTGAACGTCTCGTAATTCCTGTTCCCGAACATGTCGGCGAAGGACTGAACACGTATGTGACCAATTGTAGCCGATTAAATTGTTCTCGGTGGTTTATCAGACAAACCGTGGTCACGAGCTTGCCACTATCAATCCGAGCAGTCATGTGCTTCTTCATCTTGTTTTCTTTAATTCCGCTTATTTTCACGCCGACGTTTACGTTCGTTGCACTCTGGCACCAAGTCTAAGTGACGGATCTCGTGATCGACAAATCCGCCTCAATATGACAATTATAGATTTTATGATTTATTTTAAACACGTGTTTGGAGCTAATGGTGCACGCCACATCTTCCAAATTTTTATCAATTTTTATACAAATATATTATCCCTGTTAAAATCATTCTCTGAATTTGAAATCTTTTCTTATATTTTCTTCGTTGTTCCGAACATCGATTTTTTCTTACCTTTTGTTTTATGAAAATGTTTATGTATGTATATATTAAAACAGTTTACCGATTACGTATTTATAGTTTTATTCTCAGAATAAATGTTCACGCAATTCGAAACCGAGTTTTCTTCGAATAATAATATTGATTGAATTTGATC